CCTAAATCGATTTTCTATATTCCTCCCCAGGAATCGCCGTCGGAATTGAGGAGGGTGATGGATAGTATTTTCGCTCTGCTATATAACACGGCCATCGAATATTATCGAGACCTCGGGAGACATGCTAGGAAGAAGAGATCCCGAGGAATCGTTCCGCAGCCGACGTTACCGCCTACTTCTGGAACATCGCAGACACTGTCGTTGCCGGATTGGAATTTCCGCTATGATTTCAAGTCTGCCATTTTCGCCGAGTTTCGCCAAGAAATTGACGCAGCGATTCGATCTTTTGAGCAGGCGTATGAGATCTTGCTTGGTCAAGATGTGCTCGATATCATCCCCAGCTGGAGCCCCCGCTGGAACGAGGCACGACTTCTGGCCGATATCATATCTATTCGCTGTCTACGGTTGCATTTGTGGATGGGGCAGACGAGCCTGGCAGTTAGGAGATGGCAGTCTCACCGTGACCGCATCAGCGACTTTGTTGACCGCCGAGGAAGAGGCACCAATAATTATGGCTGGCAAGCTTGGGAATCTCGGTGGGCAATGGTGATGGCTAACATGATTGAGATGGTCGAAGTTCCGGGCTTAGGGCCTTCAACCATGACGATTTTCCTTCAGCCAGAGAAGGCTCTCTTTGGAGAGCGATTGCAGCCCTGGGAATTGTTGCATCATACGGGCTATTGGTATCGGATAGCAGCGCGCCACCTTGGAGCTCGCAGGACATTAGCCCATAGGATACCTGACGATGACAGAGGAGCGCCGGACGCTTCGCCCGCGTCAAGGGTGGCGAGCAAGGCCATCCGCTACGATACATATATGTGTCCTCCGCCTCACGAGGAATATCCGTTGAACGGAAACGGAATCAATCATGCACAACTAATGATAGACTGTCTTCTCAACGCAAGGGGGCAGTTTCAAGCGCGGAAGCAGCACCGAATTGCGGCAGAGATATCTCTAGAGTGCGCGAGAGAAATGGCGACATTGGGGAGCTGGAATGAAGTGTTGGCCATGCTTAGACCGTTGTGGGAAGACAAATCTTTCCGCTCCGAATGGTGGTTGGACATCTCTGAAGATATCCTATGGGTGATGAGGCGAGCGGCGGCGGAAACTGGGCGGGCGGATATTGTGGTCGCAATTGACTGGGAACTAATGAATGAGCGTAAGTTTGATTTGATGCCGTTGATACATGTGCTTGGAGCTAAGCTAATACTTGACATTCAGGGTTTACTCCTAGAAAAAAATGGCACTATGATCTTGCCAAGTCATTAGATGGGGTATCGTCGACATCTAGACCATTCATTACCATTTCGGATGACGTAGCCTCATCTTTTATATCAACATCTTTTGCTTTCCGCTCCAAAGAGGGCCGGGCTGGTGAGACATGCTTGGCCCAGCTGTCGCTAAAGTCTGAAGCGCTTCAAGCAGCTGCGCCAGTTACTTTGTCTTCAATCCGGGTCGAGTTCGAGGGACACCTTAAACCGATCACACTTATACACGACTCTGACTTGCCGACGAATTCTTCCGAAACTCCTGTTTCCGTAACCCTCGTAGCTTTGACGGAGCAACTTGGGGGAGATGCCAAGGAAAGTGATGAAAGTGAAAAGGAGGACAAAAATGATGGAGACGGAGACGAAGACAAGGCAAAGGACGAAGACGAAGTCGAAGTCGAAGACAAGGACGATGAAAAGGAGGGTCAATTGACTGGCAAATGCGATCTTACGCTTAGACCTGGCCACAGACAGGTTTTTGAGATGAACATACCCTTGCGAGAACCAGGGCAGGCGTCGGCATCTCGCGTAGTTTTGACTTACAAAACTGATACCTTTGAGTTGGATTACATGCTGTCATTGTCAGAATCAGGCAAAGTCACAGGATGGTTCGTTCAAGGCGCGACAAAACCACGGCTGTCGAGACCCGACGGGCACATTTTACATATACAACCAAGGCCTCCCAAGATGAAACTGAGGCCGGTAGAGCCCCTCGGCCAGTTCTATGCTAATGAGCCGATTCCCCTGCGGATTGGCTTATACAACGAAGAGGATGACTCCGCCAATGTGAAATTGGACATTCGCATTGTTGGAAAGGTTATTCCTCGGTTCCGAGTGGACGCTGGCGAACATAAACGAGAGGTAGACGCTGCCGAAGAAGAGTCGCAAGTGACGGGGCTCGCTCTTGGTCACATAGCCAGCTCTTCGTCGTTGGAGTTGTCGATCCATCTCGACCCAGCGCCAGCGCCTACAGCGTACGAAATACAGATTCGGGCGGATTACCACTTGGAATCAGACGCTGCAACACCGATCGTCCAAGTGTTGCCGATTCACCTTAATATCGTGAACGCGTTTGAAGCAAATTACGATTTGATGCCGCGGCTTCATCCAGATCCCTGGCCAAGCCTGTTCGATTATGAAGACCTGCAAGATGTGTCTGATGGCGATGTTGTTCAGGCCAGGGGTCTTGCGCAACAATGGTGTTTGGTTTGTCACTATGCATCATTCGCTACAGAAGATTTGGACGTAGTTGGTCTGGATTTAGCCGTTACGGCTGTGACGCCTGGCGGACGGTGCCAGGTCGTGAACCAGCCCGAACTCTCAGCAGATGGCATGATTGTGGCTCCAAAGACGATGTATGAAGCTCGATTTGGTCTGGTGGCGCAGAAGATTACGTTGGACGACAGGCATCCCGTCGCAATCGACTTGGCGTTTGTAGTCCGCTGGCGACGACGACGGCAATTAGCAGATGGCGAGAGCAATTCGATCAATGTCACGACGATGACGGTTGGGCAGTACATGGTTCTTGGGACAGAGCCCAGAGTATTGGCATCGGTGCTTCACAGCTCGCAGGAGCAGGCAGGCTTGGTTCGACTCGATATCACGATTGAAAACCCATCCAGCCATTTCTTGACATTCGGATTGGTAATGGAACCAAGCGATGCGTTTGCTTTCTCTGGATCGAAGCAGACGACGGTGCATCTCCTCCCAATGTCAAGGCGTACCAAGACGTATCGCCTGCTGCCGCTTGCACGAGGCGTCTACATACGGCCGGGATTGGTAGTGAGGGACAAGTATTTCCAGAAGGTGTTGAGAGTTATTCCAACAGAGGGGATGAAGATTGACAAGGACGGGCTGCTGGTATGGGTTCCTCCAGCGCCAGAGGCAGAAGAGAAGGCAGAGGGATAGGTACCCGAGGAATACGCAAATGCAATACGCAGAATCTCCAGCATTGATTTTGTCTAGACTAGATAGGGGAAAATGATTTCACGCCGTCTGACTCCAAACTGCCCGCCCCCTTTGTCTGAGAGTAGATGTAGGCTGGAAGTTGGCCTAGCGGACAGCCGTGAGGAAATAGCCGTGACGCGGGGATAATAAAACAGCGACAGCAAAATCCGGCATCTTATCAATCATCTGGCTCGGCCACGTACTCGCGCACAACGAATGAATAGCGAAGTGGTTGGGGGCGCGGACAATGTGCGGTTCCTTGTTCCAATCTGATGCCGATAAACGCGGAACTTAGACAAGACCGAGAAGGTGTGCCTGAGATCTAAGATTGGGGGGGAAGTTGGGCTAAGCTTTTGCGGGTGGAGATGCGGTTCCTTGTAAGAATGTGGGTTCTGGGCCTTTTTAGCGGGTTGTAGGATCTGAGGAGCGTGAATGTACGCGTATGTATGTATGGATGGATTTTGGGAAAGGATTTTAGTACATGAAGTTGTAAGTGAGCTGTAGGTTTGGTATATTGATCCTTCTGTTTGATGTTACATCTTTGTTGTATGATGCATTTGCTGTTACACCGGGAGACTCAACACCAACCCTTCAAGATCGTGTCTTGATTTCCAACGTATAATAACTAACGCTCCCTCTTCCTCTCCCCTGGTCCATACCAGCGGCAGCTAGTTTATTCTCCCGTAGAGAAAACCTTCGCACACCACACACCCCTCAATCCAATCTGTTCGATCCTCGGACATCGGTCAAGCTCCAAGTCCGCGTCTTACTACCACGTTTCCCAGGGTCAGCTGGGCTCTTGCGGCCACTAAGCTGCTTCAGGCGTCATTCGCCCTTTGAGTCATGAGCAGGATTTGCTAACTAAAAAAGCTGTAGTTGGTGATTGGTTCGGGGCGGCACGAAAGGTTAAAAAAACAATAGAGCACGCCTAAAAAAATCATTTATGCTTTAATTTCCGTGTAAGGGGAGGAAGGATTGCAGGAGAGTGGAGTTATGCTTTGTCATTGATTGATTTTTCTAAGAGGCTTGGAAGAAGGGAGGGTTTATTGTATCGTGAAGCAGTTCGCCACGTCTTTTCTTTGTGGGGATGAGAGGGGCGTGTGAGTGTGTCTTGCTGTCTGCCGCATTGGATGGAGTGAGTTTTCCGGATTTAATTAACGGCTTGGTAAATTCTTTTTCTTTTGCTCTTGTTTGTACTAGTCTTTCTCGGTAAATGGCACTGGACTCTAGTGTGCATCTCATGGGCTTGAGTCATTCCGATGGCCGAGACGGTTTTTACGGTGAATGATGAGACGATGGTTTTGTTGTTAGGGTGTGTGTGGGTTTGATTTGATGTGATGCGACTGTTTGGTATAAGGCTGAAAAGGTGTACCACATTCTTGATTTTCGTATTTCCTTTATTATCTACCCTCTGCACCTTGCATTGGCCAGGGAAGTGAGACGAAAGAAGGATAACACGCAGCCGATCGAGAGAGGCTGAAGCGCTAGCAGTGATCGGTTTTCAGCCTAGATCGCCTCTTCAGCTCCTTTTGTTGGAGGACTTTAAAAAAAACTAACAGGGAGCCAACCTCATTTTCTTTTTCTCAGTCTTTCTCACACAAGTCCCGTTGTTTCATACAGAGCGGGTCAAAGATGTCTTCAGCATCACCAACTCCGCGTCTTTCATCAGACAAGACAGAGCGCGGCTCGTTGCCGCCGCCTGTGAACCACGACAACGACGATGTCGAAAAGGAAATCGCCGTGACGGGAGAAGACGTGACGCAGCAGGAAAAGGACGGAGGCGTCATGGAAGATGTCACCAAGACTACCACGACGGCGACGAACCCTGCAGACAACTATCCCAAGGGACTGAAGCTCGTTTCCATCGTCTTCGCCTTGTGCATGGCTATTTTCCTGGTTGCGCTGGATCAGACGATTATTGCGCCTGCGTTGGGGACTATTACTGCGAGGTTTCAGAGTGTGAAGGATATTGTGAGTGCATCCCTTTTTCTTCGGCTATTTTCTTCCACTATTGTCGTTGAGATATGACATCAATTGTTCCTTTTGCATGTTGTTGTTGTTGTTGTTACAAAATAACTGACTCTTTAATCAGGGCTGGTATGGCTCTGCCTATCTTCTCACCACCACGGCCCTGCAGCCAATGTATGGTGCCATATACAAATACTTCAACGTCAAATGGACCTATCTCGCCGCCATCTTCATCTTTGAAATCGGCAGTTTGCTCTCGGCTGTAGCGCCTTCATCCAAGGCACTCATTGTTGGACGAGCCATTGCAGGAGTAAGTTTCCTTTCGAATCACATGTTATAGTAGCTTAATATCAAGGTGCTGACTGAGACGGCCAGATTGGAACGGCGGGCTTGTTCTCTGGCTCCATCGTCATCATCTCTCTATCAAGTATGGTTCCTAATCAAACTCCCTTTCCGTCGTCAGCATAAAATAGCAGCTTGCTAAACTGGATTGTTTCTGTAGTGCCTCTCGACAAGCGTCCCCTTGCCTTTGGTCTCATCGGTGGCATGTGGGGAATCGCCTCCGTCGCCGGTCCTCTTCTCGGCGGTGCTTTCACCGAAAACGTCTCCTGGAGATGGTGCTTCTACATCAACCTCCCCATCGGTGGCCTCGCCATGCTCATTGTCGTCCTCATCCTGCACGTCAACCGCAACTCGGAAGATACGCTCAACATGACCGTCTTAGCCCGCATTCTCGAGATCGACATCCTGGGCACGGCCATCTTCATTCCCGCCATTGTGTGTCTTCTGTTGGCTCTGCAATGGGGCGGCTCGGAATATGCTTGGAGCAATTCAAAGATTATCGGCCTCTTTGTCGGCTTTGGCCTCATGATTGCAATCTTCATTGGGATCCAGTTCTGGAAGGGCGACAAGGGAACTCTTCCGCCGCGCATGTTCAAGGACCGCAATGTGCTCCCCGCCATGCTCTTCAGCCTGTTTTTCGGCGCTGGCTTCTTCCCTCTTGTCTACTATCTTTGTGAGTTGTCTCCCTACAACGTAAACGATAGTGACCCAAACAAATTGTGCTAACCGAGTCAACAGCCCTCTACTTCCAAGCCATCCAGGGGGTCAGTGCCGTCACGGCCGGTATCAAGATCTTGCCGCTGCTCCTTTCTACTGTGCTCATCTCAGTCCTCTCGGGTGGCCTCATCTCGGTCATTGGTTACTACAACTACATCATCATTCCATGCATGATTCTGTATACCGTCGGAACGGGCCTGCTTACGACTCTCGACGTCCACAGCCCGCTCAAGGAGTGGTTTGGCTACCAGGTCATTGCCGGCTTGGGCATCGGAGCTGGTTTCCAGACTGCCGTTTTGGTTGTGCAGACGGTCCTCACCCAGGAATGGGTTCCTATCGGCACTGCCTGTGTCCAGTTTTTCCAGGTCCTGGGTGGTGCAGTTTTTGTTGCTGTTGCCCAGACTCTCTTCCAGAACGGACTCATCGACCAGCTTGAAAAGGACAACCTCGGTATCGACCCTCAGCTCTTCATCAACAGCGGCGCTTCTGAGATCAAATCCGTGCTTGCAGGGATCAACCGCCTTGATGCATTTGACGCTGTCCTGAAGGCATACATGCTGGGTTTGCGCCATACCTACTACATTTCCGTTGCTTGTGCCGGATGCGCATTCCTGTGCTGCCTGGCATTCGAATGGAGATCTGTCAAGAAGGGCGTGGACGGTAAGAAGACTGAGATGGCACCGGCCATGGTATAATTACCCGGCTGAAGTTACCACTCCACTCTCCTGACTCCTTTGTTTCGAGCTTTGTGTTTTTCTATACCCATGGAATTTGGACATGTACAAATAGTACTGCATATTTTGAGCTGCATAGTGTAATTAAATTAGGAATCACATATAGATCCTGGCGTTATCTAATAGAAGCATGAATCACTCACATCACTGCGTATCGTCGGGAGGCCGATCCCACGATTTCCGATTGGCCTCTTTTCGTGTAGTTGCTCCGAAATCTCGTCCAACAAACTGAATAACCCAGTCTTTGACGAGTCGTGTCTTTTCCCGTTGAGGATGCTTCGCAGCCGTTCGTCTGGCAATGTCTTTATTATCATAGTAGCCGCCCCCTTCGCTCCGCCACAGGAGGCTCACTCGCGTCAAGTTCTTGCGCAGACTCTGGCCGTAGACCTTGCCGCGAAAAACATGGAGTGCAACATTTTCCATTAACACAACGTCTTGTCGGCGGAGCTTGCTCACTTGGCTGGTCGAGACCTGGTCGTTGGATAGCCAAAAGGTTACGGCAAAACCCGATTTGGTGTCATCACCAACGAGGACTTCAACCAGCGAGAGAGTTGTTCCCCAACGCGTCGTGACAGTCCGAGGCTGGGCGATGGAGATGACGGCAACAATTAAATTGAGCGTCACTGTCTGGGGGCTCAGGGCGAGGATGCGAGCTGCTGAAGGGACGTCTTCCAAGTCTGAGAGGTGTGATGGCACAGGCGTTGGTAGTGAACGGGTGGGGTCTTGCAGGGAAGCTTCGTTTGAAGAGGTCGTGGTGAATGAAGCTGTGGTGTCTTCATTCGTGTTCAAGCTGAAGCTGCCTAGTTGACTGGATGGTATCAAGTTGTGAGCGGCCAACGACTCTTCAACAAACTGGGTAAGAAGCGTTCCTCCATCATCGCCACGGTCAAAGGATTGTGTGTCATCTCTAGGGAGAGCATCCGCCGTGGTGAAGAAGTCGCGATGAGCTTGAAAGGAGATGTCTAGGATGCTGTGATTTTGGCTCAGGCCAGTGTGAAGAGGACGACGATTGAGCGGCACAGACCGCCAAACGGCGTGTGTTTGTGATGCAATTTCAGCGCCCGAGCTCGTGTCTGTGTGTTTCCGCAGTTTGTGCTTGCCGTGGTCTAGAGGGCCAAATAAGGTATGAAATGGCTCCTCAAAGCTGTTGAGAGTACAGGATTGGGAGTTCACGGAGGCTGGAGACGGGGCTCCGACGAAGAGGATGAGGCTCGGCGACGGCGTTGGTGCTGGTGCAGGCATATCTCTTGGTAAATGAGACTGCAAAAATAATTTGCTGTTGCACTATCCCCTTGATATCCGTGTTTATATGTCCCAGCTTGAGGCTCTCTCTCTCTTACTGCGATGCTGTTGAACCAACCAACCGCCTCCACAAAACACCACTGTCACGCCCCGGATTTAGTATGTGGTCATTTACTGTTCATGTAACCCGCACACGTGAACGGTTTGAGGTATTGGTCGGCCGCTCTGTAAGGTTCTGATGCAATAAGATGCTACTCATTTGGCATTGATACGTGGTACTTCGTAGCTGGGTTTTTAGAAGTTGGCGTGAAGGTGTTCAAAAGCTTCAAAGACAACAAAACTCTCTCCACTTCACGTGTCCCCCAAACCCCGTTATTACTAAGGCACCTAAGGCACTTCTCCATTAGTACTGACAATGAAGCTGAGATTTGCACTAGTCAGCACCTAACGGTATCAGCCGTCGCCATAACGCCACTATAATCGAATCGGCTTTCAGAATATCTGCCAGCGTGTTTGTCTGGCCCCCGATTCAGGTACCAGCATCTCCAATCGCCTTTGCCGAGGCTCAATCTCCACCCGAACCCCGAAAACCCAGCCAGCCGAGCAGAGCCCATAAGGAGCATCTTGCATGCGGCCTGCCGTTTGCTTCTGAAAGAATGGAGCTGAGGCTACCCAGGACTGTTCCATTCACGAAGCCAGGTTGCTAAGATTCAGCGATAAAACTTGCAGAGTCTGACTGAGTTGGCGACTCCCATATAGACCAAGTAGTATCGTGGCAATCCCTCACCTATCCTGGTACTCCGACGCGATACAAACGGCCTCTCACTCACTCTTCCTCTCTGCTAATTCAAATAGCACAGCTGCCACCAAGATTCCCCTCTCCCTTGTGCCTTATAATTACTAGAATCCATATCCTGTATATACACACGTATACATACATAGAGCGACATCACCATGGCTTCCTCCTCATCACCCTCATCCCCCGTCTTCGACATCCGCGAGCACACCGTCCAGGCATCGCACATACGGGAATACCCTCGCGCAACCGCAGTCTCGCAAGACGAACCGTTTCTGCTCAACGTAAAGCAATATACTCCCCGGCACGGCGACCCTCCGCGCAAAGGCGACATCACCATCGTGGGCAGTCATGCAAATGGCTTTCCAAAGGTCCGTCCCTCTCTCACCCTCGAGATGTCATGACGATGAGTGCTAATCGAGACCAGGAACTCTATGAGCCTCTCTATGAGGAATTCTTGAAAGAACTGGAAAAGCAGGGCCTTCGGTTGCGTGCCATCTGGATCACTGACGCCGCTCACCAGGGCCAAAGCGGCATTCTCAATGCGGCCAACCTGGGCAATGACCGTACGTCTCTCTCGTCTCTCATTCTTCATCTCACCTCACCCTACCCCCCCTCTCATATCCTTCACCTTACAATATACATGTAATAAATAAACAAATATACTAACCAGTGTTAAAACACAGCCAACTGGCTCGACTACGCCCGCGACATCCTCCACGTCATCAACACCTTCCGCATGCCCCGGCCCATCATCGCCATGGGCCACTCCTTTGGCGCAAACGCCCTCACAAACGTCGCCCTCATGCACCCGCGCCTCTTCACCGGCATCGTCATGCTCGACCCCGTCATCGCCCGCTTCACCGCCCCCAAGAAGCTCCCCAGCTCGCCCGAGACGTACAGCCGGCCGGCCTCCCTCAGCGCCACCCGCCGCGAAGTCTGGCCGTCCCGCGCCGCTGCCGCAGCGGCATTCCGCTCTAAACCGTTCTATCAGGCCTGGGATCCTCGTGTGCTTGATCTCTTTATCCGGTACGGCCTACGTGAGGTCTCGGCTCCGTCTACTTCTTCTCAGCAAGACGAATCCCAGACCCCTGTTCGCCTTACCACAACCAAGCACCAGGAGGTCTTCACTTTTATTCGTCCCCTTTGGCCTGCCATTGACCCCGTCAGCAAACTCATCACTCACCCTTCCCGCAAGGCCCCCGACCACGACTTCGACCCAGACACTCCCCCCATCTTCCCCTTCTACCGCTCCGAGGGCAACAACACCGCAGCCCGCCTCCCCCACCTCCGCCCCCCAGTCCTCTACATCTTCGGCGCCACAAGCGACGTCTCCCTCCCCCATCTCATCCGCGAAAAGCTCGAAAAGACAGGCACCGGCGTCGGAGGCAGCGGAGGCGCCAAAGCCGGCCGCGTAAAAGAAGTCACGCACCCCAAAAGCGGCCACCTCGTGCCCCTAGAGGAGCCCGTCTTCTGCGCAAAGGCTGCCGCCGAGTGGGCCAAGATAGAAATGGACAAGTGGTGGGAGGAAGAGAAAGAGTATGAGGAGTGGGCGAAGAAGCCATTGGAGAAGAAATCGACGTTGGACGATGAGTTTATGAAGCGCCTTGTGCCGAATCGTAAGACGAAAGCGAACTTGTAGAGTAGACAGGTCTTTTCTGGGCTTCTTTCTTTTGTTGATTTGGTAGCATATATTTGTTTGGATAGAGGCTCTTCTTTTTCTTCTCTTTTTGCATTGTACAAACTCGATGCAGTAAATAGCCCAAATCTGGCATTGAGAGTACATATCCATTGGCAATCAGGATTTGCTGTCCTATTTGATGATAACACGCCGGCAATCCGATTCATACATAATGACCATCAATGAATTAGAAATTATGATATATTTGATGTAAATCTATAAAGCATCATCCCGTGTGAACAATATGCTCGCCCTTCATTCACGCGTAAAGACTATTCTACTACAGGGAAACGTAATACAAATATTTCCAATCAATATGCTTCAATATCTAACTAGCCGTCACAAAAGACATCTGCTGCCATTCTAGGTGCCGCTTTTCAAAAATACGCTTGCATTCAATTTCTTTTAAAAAGCTGCTGAATATCCAATACTAAGCTAAGCTATGCCGTGTATAAGCTTATCAAAGACAATCTCAGCTTATCCTAAATTTGCCGTCGCCATAAAACACAATCGCTCAAATATAATACATACTATCCCTGAGATTGGCATGCACCTGTCTCCCTGCCGTGCCAGCTCCGGCCCCGGATATCGTCGACACACTCTCCGTATCATCGCCAGCTCCGTAATGCTCAGGGCGGTGTTGGCGAGCCCGTTCACAGACAATGTCCGCATAATACGCCGGCGGACAGATGCTGACGGCCTTGGTGGCGCGGCCAAAGAGGTAGCACAGCTCGTGCGTCAGACGCTCCAGCTCGTCGGTCGCCTTGTCACCGAACTTAGCGCGGAAGATTTCGTCGAGAAGAACGGTATAGTGGGCTGGCCGAGCGGTGCCTTGAAGGGCTTCGTGGGCTGTCATGAAGAAGTCCCAGTACCTTGCCTGGGTCACGCCCCGATCCACAACCGTTCCATTGATGGTGTTGCCGGACTTGGACATGTCATCTGCTGAAGTAGGGTAAAAGCGAGTCTGGTGCCGCTTCACCGCGACCAAAATTGTGAGCTTTGGCTGGGGTTGGGTGGGAGGATACTTCTTGCGGCAGGCCTCTCTGATGATTGGGAGCTCGTTGTCGAGCACCTGGGAGAATTGACTCTCGGAGACGCCGTCTCGGTAGATGACGATGTTTTCTGGATATTTGTTTCCATTGTGCTTGCTCCAGGTATCTAGCCGTATCATAAATGCATCTAGTAGTTTGTCGCTGAGCATCTCCTGCCTTGGAGGTTGCTCCCACGCTATCGCAGGCCATTGGGCGAGATCTCTGTCGATGCTGGATACGAATCCCGCCAGACTGGGAGTATCGCTGCTTTTCCTCTGGCTCATGTTGGTTGGGTGAGTAACATCGTAGCCAACAATCATGGCTTTGCCATCACTCAGAATGCCAAAATCGTCTCGTAGCTTGTGGTTGGTGCCACCGGCCTTCAGATTGATCTTGAGCCCAACGTTGGCAAAATAGGCTGGAGCTGCCTTTGCAAACTGCTGGGCCACTACGCAACTCGTATGAATTCCATACGTACAGTCGCCCAGCGTCTTGATCTTGCTATATAAGCCGGTGGAGTCCTTTTCGGGAAGGATGATGACGAAGAGCTGGACATCATTCTTTTTCAGCCAGTCAAAGACATTCTCGAGATTCGAGGGATCGGCCACCTCCCGAAATGGATCCATGGGATTTTTGTTGATGTTGATGCCCATGCTAACCAGCCATTCTCCGTAACTTAACACCACCGATTTATCGACGGCCCTCCTGCGCTGATGATCTGCCATGAGATTGACCCAAGTCCAGCGCTCAATCCTCTTGCCTGCCTTGACGACCTTGACTGACCTCATGTTCCATTGGCCCTTAGATGGAGCTACGTCAGCCCTCTTACCATTGGCAATATAGCTCACCATCGGCGCATTGAGAATTCTTCCCTGTACGGTCAGCAACCTCTTGTCGACAGAGAGACCGAATTTGTCTAGTTCGTTGTCGTCAAGATTGAGAGCCTGACGGCTAGCCGCGCTAATCGACAGAGCATTGGAATATGGCGAGCGGCATGCAAATTCAAGCATTGCCGTTGTCTCTTCCATGGTGAGAGTGGCTTTGATCGCCTGTCCAGGCTGAATCTCCACCATCTCGGCCGGAATGTAAGTGAAGGGATTTTGGTCAGTGCCCATGTCGATCAGCGGATAATCTTTCAGTATAATGTTAAAGCCTTCGACTCATGTTAGGCCTAATCTCTTGAAAACAAACGAATACCGAAAAGAAAAAGAGAGAGAAAAGGGGGAAAGAAAGCTTACTCTGTTTGAAATAGTCAAAGACTGAGATGTATCGGCCTCCTCCTCCTTCCGTGTTCTGCCAAAACTGGACATTTTTTGGTCCCGCATACTCCCAATCACGGTCAAACTTTGGTGGATTGGCAATACCACGGCTCTTTTTGCCTACATCCCAAACATTGGCCAACCCCTGTATGGCCTTGGATCGACGAATTGTTTTGCCTGTGGCGAGAATCATGGTTCTCCAAGCACGCGCTTTGGGCAGGAATTTACCAAAGGCCCTAAGCTTCTTCATGGCTTGGTAGTCGGTCTTTGGAGCAGCCCTCAAGCCTAGGTTGTCGAGTATGTCTGTCAATGAGCCTGACAGCCTAAAGACACCGTGTGTCACGTTGACGTTTAGCAGGATGCGGCCTGTTCCCAGACGTGTAGATTGGAAATAGCCGCGGGCGGCTGACAGGGCATGCCAGTTATGGGTGAGCTTTTCGATAACCTTGTCGTCGCCAAAGGGGAAGAAACGGTGTGACCCAATGGTACCGGTTTTGTCAAAATCGCTCCTTGGCCCGTGACCCAAAATGGTGTTGAGAGCATCGACGGCTTCGGGGAAGCGTGGGAAGGCGACGTCTTCGTTAGCAACCGGCTCGTCACCCGAGGACGTCAAATACTTCTTCATGCTTCCCACATCAATCTCAGTGGGGCCGTGAAAATGGACACTATAGGTTTCCAAGACCTCATCATCTCCCTGATCTTTGGGAATCTGGATGATCATGGGGTTTTCAGGGAGGTTGACTTTTTTGAGCGTAATGATCTGGCTCTTGAACTCCGAGGCAGCGACAAAAGTCTTGTCTTGCTCCAAAAGCTTTGCAAGGGTCTCCTTGATAACGAGAAAAAGTTCCCTGCCCCTGACCTCCTGTTCAGTTTCCTGTGTCCCCTCTGTGCTGGGAGCTGGCCTTGAGGAGGCTTTGCCGCCACGTTTGGATGCCTTCTTCGGAGCTGCCGACTTGGTCACCTTCTTCTTGACCTCAATGGTATACTTGAAGAAAGAATCACGGGTGACATTGACCTTGAAGTAATTTGCCCAAAGAACGACGGGTCTGCCCTGTGAGCCGAACGCTGGCCTGGCAGGGAGCCGGTCGTTCATTAGAGGCGGAGGCTTGGGGCCAACATTGCCGCCTCCTCTTTTTTTGCCTTTAACACTCATGCCCGCCATCTGAGAGGTGATGGATGCAAGCGAGGCGGATTGTCGTGAGACAATCTGGGTCTCGAGTTGAGCGACTTCAGCATTTGGAGTTGGAATCGCACCGCCGTAGCTACAGGATGGGTTAGGCAAATGTTGACAATGATCCGAAAGATAAAGACTCACCCAAAGGCCCTGGAAATACCGGGAGAGACATCACGCCCCCGGCCCCGACCTCGACCGCCGCCTCGTGAACCATCTCCCCGGAAGCCGCTGAAGCTACCACGATAACCACCGCGTTCTCCTCCTCCCCGATCGTAGCCTCCTCTGCCACGGCCTCCACCGTAATCTCCACGATCGTAACCTCCCCGGCCGCGGCCTCCGCCGTAGTCTCCGCGATCAAAGCCTCCTCTTCCTCGGCCACCACCCCGGTCGCCGCCACCGCCTCGGTCACCGCCGCCTCGACCCCGATCGCCGCCCCGGCCCCTATCACCACCTCGGCCGCCACCCCGTCCTCGATCGCCACCCCGGCCCCGGTCGCCGCCGCGGTTGCCGCGGTTGCCTCTGTCAGCCATGAGAAAGCTCTACGCGACTTGAAGGAAGCAAGATGTATATCAAAGATGTGTGTAAGTGATATATATCAGGGATAAAGCAAAAGCGCTGCGATGAGAATAAAGATATCAAAATATTGAAGTAAAAAGCGAGGGTATAGATAGTCTGGCAAAGAGTGAAAGCAATTGATGGCTGAGCAAAAGACGGTATGTGAGCACAAACAAAGGACAGAAAAGCAGATAAATGGGTCGCTCTGGAAATGTCAAGCGCAAGAGGGGCGTGCTTGACCAATCAATCAAGAAGAGCAAACGGCCAATGCAACAAGTCGTGATGCGTTGCAGCTACCTTAAGCTGCCCGAACTGCGCAGCAGCTCTATTGCCGTGAGTCTGAAAAGAGACTCGATGGGTTGGGAGGGTTGAGGTTTGACTTTGGGAGGCGAGGAATGACGCCAGTCCAAGAGCTCCCCACAGGGTCTTTTAAGAGGGGCCTTATCGGGGTTCTGCGGGGTGAAAATACAGGTGCCGTGTCAGCCAGAGGTCTGAGAGCTTCTCATGCAAGATATCGCATGCCTGCAGCTCCTTGTTGGTTGTGTCGTTTGCTGGTCGGCCGTGAATTTTGCGTATTGCCTTGCACTGAAATCTGCACGCTGCTTCGCCGGGATCTGGCTATGCACCTACACGCTGCAGTTGGGCAATGCGTGTTTGTTTGTAGGCAGATAGTGGTCAATGTGAATGGAGACGAAGAGGCAGATGGATAGCTAGGTAGATATCCAGCCTTGTATGGCTGTTGAATGGCAAAAAACACCTGAGAACGAACATGTAATGCGTTGATGTAAAGATTTATGAGATCCCCCGTGTCAACGCAGCCATCAACACACCATATATATCTGCAGCTGAGATGCCCATCTTCATTGATGCACACCCACTCCCAACATCGGACGGACAGCATCAGCCAAACAAAATCTTTTCCCTCCCACCCTTGCGCAGCCGCTGGCCTCCGACATGGGACTCGTTGCCATTGTCGGCCTCCCAAAGAGTCACCGTCCATTATTCCCGCTGTCCGCCCGCGCAGGTCGAGGCTGATTCGCTCCAAGCAAGAGAAGTGACAGGGCGCCTCTTTTTCTGCCTGGGCTGGGCACCATCTGCGGCATTCTGCAGCATCTGCACCCGCTCCGTCATCGCCGATTGAGAGGTTCAGCCTCACATTTCGCGACACCTAGCTAGGCCAGGAGGAGGGGGCCTGCATTCTGAGAATTGACATGCGGCCGTCGGTTGCACCCGCACTTCACGCCACCTCACGGCGCGTCAGGCCATGGAAGCTTGAATGTTGATGTTGTGCCTGTCGAGAGCCTGATGGATGCGGCATCGTCATCAAGGCGGGCCTCAGACCTCTGTCCCAGCACGTGGCCCATCAGCCTGCAGTTGTCGAGAATAATGGTTGTGATGTGCTGTTTTCTTCATTTGGCTGGTATCCTTGAGCCCATTGAGTCTGGTGTCTGCTAGAAATTGTGGTTACGGAACGGTCTTGTTCTCTTCTCTTCATCACAGAGTTGCATATTGTATGTAGCGTTGCATGCAGAGTACATTACATTACATGTATGCAGAAGTAGGCATTCACCTTTGCCACTCCGGAGTACCATTTCTCTCACCTATTAATGTACATCTTGACGCCCAACCTGCTGGCATCTTGGGGTATGTATTTTGTACCTATGGAGTAGATCTACCGTATAGCCAGTAGGCGTTGATTCCCTTATGCAGCACTCTCAGATACGCATCCTTTGTGTTGACCTGTGTCTTCGGAGCATCCCTCCGTGCTGTCATTCATTCGTCCGCTTATTTACAGCGGGCGTTGTCACACTGCGCACATCAGTGGTGTAGATTATCTTCATCCTTGGCATCTACAGCTCTGTATCGCGTACAGAGCATCTGCGCGACCATGACTCTATGTTTCTAATATCCTCATGTAATTTTCGTAGGCGTCTTCACGGTTTCTTGTTAGAGAAGCTGCTAATCAACTTGTGCAGCCTTAGGATAAGCTACACCACAGACAGTTTCACCTGACACTGAAAAGTAACAAAAAGACAAACACAAAGTAAAACGTGAAAAAAAAAAAAAATTGAAAATGGTCAAAACATTGGCAAAAAATGAAATCAATTCCGGCGCCGGGAGTCGAACCCGGATCGCCGCGGGACTTTCTAGTGAAAGCGCGGTATGCTAGCCACTACACCACGTCGGATATGCTTGTTTGATGCATAAAAACGGACTAAATTTAGTTTATATAACGCTGATTGGCGTACGGTGAAAGGTTGAATCCGCTGTTGTTTGCGCAAACAGACGCCTTGGTGATATATAAGAGGACGAAACTTGCTCTTGGTCTTATGTTTACTAGCGGGTTGAACATACTGCGTATAGGCCGCCTGAGACCAGTGATGGTTAGCGTTTGACGATGTACTTCATCATGGTTCAGATGTGGCAAATGGCCCCTCATTGACATTGCAATTCACTTCAGCAACAAGTCTATGCGCAGATATAGTAGGTACCTACATGGCCATGGCATTGTAAATTTATCTAAATAAATGCGAAATTGAAAGACAAATGTGAACTTTCTTACTATTCATGACAGGAGTTGAGGTCAACATAGTCAGTGGTGAGTTGCGCATGAACGCACTTCCTGTATGATGTAAATCATGCTTCGGTGGGGAGATACATATTTGAGTAAATACTCCTATTGAGCCTGTGATTAATATGTTGCATACATGAACTCACAGCCTCTTGTACAGCCACACAGGTCCACTTGATGATAAGTAGGCATATCTCCAAGCAATGGAATCAAGTCACTCAGTCTTTCAGAGTACATGTATGCTTATCCTCCCAAGACTTCACGATGCCTCTTGACAAAGTCCTCCACCGTCTCTGGGCGACGTCCAGTAATCTTCTCCACGACATCGTTTGTCCCATCCATAAGCCCCTTCTCATGCATCGGGACAATACCCTGAACATGCTGAGACAGGTACGGTATGTCCTGGCCCGCCACTTCCCGAACCCACTCCTCTCCAGAGATTTGCTCGTAGCGAACCTCTTTGCCGAGAGTCTTGCTGACAATCTCGGCGATCTCAGGCGGCGTCAGCTCCACAGGCCCGAGGAGTCGATAACTCTTTCCCACATGAGACCAAGGGTCGGCAAGGATCTCGGTGATGACAGCCCCTTGATCCTCGCATGAAATCGGGGCAAAGCGACCATTTGGTCCAAACGGAACCGCATAACGTCCCTGCCGAATCATGTTTTGCATAACGGTCAACCACTCATTGAAAGCTGTTGGCTGAAGATGGGTCACCGGAATAGGTGCCCAGTCAAAGACTCGCTCCGCAAGCCAGTGATGCATGGCCGAGTCGCTGGTGGCATCCGGACGGGACGTCCGCTGCGAAATGTTCAGAATGAATTCAGCCTTGGCTTCGATAGCTGCCATGGAGTAGTTTGCTGTCGCTTCCACGAGGCCGGGTTGCATAGGGTAAACGAAGTAGGCGCGCTTGACTCCCTCAAACGCACGTCGTACAGAGCGGAGGTCGAGATAGTCACCGACAAAGATTTCGGCGCCCATGTCTGAGAGTTTGCGAGCACGCTCGTCGTCTTTGTGGACCATGGCACGGACAGGATAGCCTCTTTCAAGAAGCATCCTGGTAGCAATGCTACCGGTGCGACCTGCGGCACCGGCAATGAGGATCTTGGGCTTGTCTGACATGATTCTTTTATGTATCTGATGTATTAAACTGATGAAGGATGTGCTCTTCATGTTCTTGCAGCCCTGAGGCTCTTGTTATATAGAAACATCAACTGCTATGTGGTCTAAAAAGATTCCTCATGCTCATTGTAAAACAATACGCATAGGCTATCCGAGTTTACAGTCGGGTATTCGAATTATAGACTACCAGGGGACCATAAACCCATAAAGAGATGATGATGCAAAATGTACAGGAATCATTCAGTGATTAGTATAAAATAGTATGGTGACCATGAAGGAGCAGAATCCAGGATTCGGAAGTTACCGAAGTCGTACAATGCACAATACAATCACAGGCAATGTTGCATAGCATATACAACCTAATGGAAGATTTACGATCAAGACGATATACTCATTCTCCGAGAACAACATTATCATCTCTGCCGTTTCAGTATGCTCTTCTTCTTCGATTCGGGGGATTATGACAAGTCATCCCAAGATCTGTACGCTGAGACTAAAACAGCCTACAATTCTCCTTTTTAAATCTGTAAATCTTTCACAATGGCTTTTGTTTTTTTCCTTCCATTTTACAAAATAATTTGCTGAGCTGCGAGTCATACACGAACATTGATCTACTGGTGGATATTGTTCGCTATAGATACAGTCTGATCGATCCGCCAGGGCACCATTTCCCGGTTTCGGTTAGATCCAAAGTGAACAGTTGACTTAGCAGTGAAGCCCAGTATTAGTCGAAAGCATGTTGCACGTTGATTGCCGGCGCTCTGAGACGATGATACATTCCTTAAACGTTTCTTGTGAATATGGGAGCATAATATCTCGGGAATCCGAAGTGATACCCGGCTGGAAGGTGTATAGAATGATTAGATATCTTCTCAGGGGCAGTTGAAAGCGACAAACTCGAGATATATAAAGCCTTGACGGAATCTCTCAGAGATACGAGTATATACAGCTGCATCAGTAGTCGAGCAACAGTATATTACTCATTCTATCACATACAAGATTAAAAAATGGCTGAATCTCTGGTTGACGAAATTCTTGAGCGAAACAAGTATGAGATACCTACATTTTCGTCGTGCATACCTGCTAAACGCTTGACCACAGAAACTTTGCCGTGGCCCATAGGCCATACAGATTCTTCTCTGAAAGCCAAGGCCAAAAGAGACCGTCGATACTCATAAGTAAAGTCCATGTGATGCAATTGTTGACAATGCCTCGTGGCTGACCTGAACTCAAGTAACTTGTCTCGACCTAAGATGTAACCCTGAAGAGTTCTTCAGTCTTCTACCAGGCGGTACAGTCTATTTCCGAAATCACACTCTCTACTTTGTCGCTGACGTACACATAGATGCTGCAATCTTACGCGTCGGGGGTGGTAGAGTTGCCCCGCTCATCGCCCAAATAATTTCCTTGGACTGCTTCCTCGGCAGCCTCAAAGAGATAATGGTGATTCATCACACAGGTACGGAGGACATATGTTTGCATTGGGTACGAGCTAACCTGCTATTGATGCTTTGTATAATACAGATTGCGGAGCTACTCACATGACTGAGAAGAGGATTCACGACCACGTTTTGAAGGAAGACGGAGTTACCATCGAGGATGCGACACAGCTGGTGCTTCCGTTCATTACTGAGTGAGTTTCCATCAAGTATCGGTCGGAAATAGCAGTAAGCTAATTCTCACAGCCTGGAGCAAAGCGTTCGGGACGATGTCAAATTATTGAAAACATCGAGAATCATTCGTCGTGAGCTGAGGGACCATGCGAGCGGCTATCTTTACGACGTCAAGTCTGGACTTGTCCGGCGCGTCTAGAAGTTATTCTTTAGGCGTAGAATAATGATTTCATGGGAAGAGATGAAAAGCACTAGCTCTGCATATGGCGACATGACGTCCCCTCCGTTCACAAGATGTTATTCTCTCAAACCTTGAGCTAGTTGGGAATCCGTATGACATATAAATTTTATACACAAACTTAAAATGACCATTACAATTCAAGAGGGCCAAGGAGCGGGAGCAAAATTGCAACCTGGAAAGCAACGACATGCGTGTTCTCCAGTCGGTCGTGCTCCAGGTGCGGTGGATGGATACCTGAAGCTCGCCATACAGAACTGAGCTTCGTCCAAGCACCAATGAATTAGTACAATAATCATCCATTTATCTTGACAATCTTTCCCATATATATTTAGGTACCTACAAAAAATCCCTCGGTGGATTCCTACAAACCTTCTAGATTTCAGGTACCTACATAGTAAGATATAGTTTTGGAAGCCTGCGCAAGAAAAACGCTATCTCATCATACTTTGAACAATGATGGCGGTGCAAACGCAAGGAGAGAAAAATCTTGATCTGTCCAACTTCCCATAAGTCATAGTACAAAGTATAAGCTGGCGGCTACATGGATCCCATCCCATTATAAAATGCCCCCCATTCCCCCTCCTTCCTCCCATACTTTCCCCCTCGCCATCCAGACCAGACCAAGAACCTCGCTCCAACACCCTCCGCAACTGCACCGCCGTACATGTAGTTACCAAACCTGCCATTCCATGCTAACCACCTCACACAGGACACGTTGCGCCAACACAAGTCTCGGCTCCTGAATGTCAGTGATGAGCCGGTCTTCGTGACGAAAGCGAAGATGAAGACGAAGACGGAGGCAACGAGCAAAGGTCTCAACGGTGTTTCTTCTTCGCACCAGCAGACAAGCCGCCGAATGCAATGAAAAAAGAGAAAGAGAGGAAGCAGCTCCACCTGGAGGTAGTGTAATACCAGGGGCGTGAGAAGATGGATCAAAAATTGTGCCGGGGTACTAACCAGACCTGCTGATCATCCCAAGGTCTTAGTCGCCTCACGCAGGGCCTTGGCAATGTCAACACTCGTCCCGACCTCTTGAGCGTCAGTGATGAGCCGGCGAATGATGTGTGGTGGATGGAGAAAGGAGAAAAGAAGATAGAATCGGAGAAGAAGCGAAGGGGAATTTATACCACCGAGAAGCACGTGTTCGCTTAGTGAGTTGTGTCAAGCGAGGCTCTCGTCGTGGAAAGAGCGGCCATGACTAACGGAGAGCAGGTGCATACCCAGCGAACTGGGTAATTCGGAGAAGGAGCAATCTTTTTACGCGCGCAGTCTTTTTACACAGTCTTTTTTACGGAATCTTTTTTACGCAGCCCGGAGACTTTTTCCGCGGTATTTTGGCAACATCAGCGCCCATCTCGACACTGTAAATGTCAGTGATAAGCCAGCTTTTGGAGTTTCCAATGCATTCAAGTACAAGATACGATGCGTCTTGGTAAAGCGGAAATGAAAACAGCTTGAGAGAAGAGGAGAGCAAAATGCATCCCATCAAAAGGCATGTACATGCGTACCCAAAAAGAAGCTGATAACGCTCATGCCATGGAAAGAGTGACAGTAACCAGCTAACAGAAGGGCAGGCGTTGATTCAAGAAGGGGCAGAGGTCGATGGTATCGAATGCCCATTTGCAGGTCTATATATTGGCTAGGAAGTGCCTACCTAGTAGTATGTACCAGCAGCAAGCGAGATGCATGTCTTGAGGTACATGTATCGGGACGACATGGTCGTCTAGTTGGTAAGTACCAACCCCAGAACCCAGCATTGAGACTACATGTACATGTGCGGAGTACCGGTTGCGAGCACTGGAGGGCTATCCTGGGAAGTAGTTCGAAGAAATTTGAGCACCTTCAGGACGGAATGTGGGTGAGTTCTTTGTTCACCTTACTCACCCCTTGTATCTATTGGCTGCAGATCACGGCATGCCTTCTCACCTACAGGTACTCGACAGACATTAGGGAACCACGAGGTGCAGCGCCCACCTGCGTAGGACTGGGATACTGGAGATATGATCACGCCGGATGGTGGAGGAGGGTGCAACTGTTTGTGATTTTATATATAAGCTGTGAAGCTAAGAGATCCCATAAGATGCTATTTACAGGAAGATGCTACAACCGACTTGTTGCAATCCCTGCTGGTTTTAATACTACAAAATCCTCTATCACTGCAGTTCCATCCTCTAATGCTTGAAGTTGCTCTGGTGTACACGTCTGTGTTGCCAAATACGTATAGCACTGATTCTCAGGAGAGTGCTTCGGAATCTTGTTCTTAATGCCCCAGCTACTGATCGGACCCTTGGTGCTGTACTTGTCGTCAACTTTATTTCGACCTGTTGCAACGTCCTTTCCAAACATGCTGCGCTGGAAGATCTGGTAAACGGTCTCCGGCTGGTAAGCGGTTGCAGAATGACCGGCTTCGAAGACGCGCGAAAAGGACACGTTGCCGTGTTGGCGGACGACGCCGCCAATGTAAGAGGAGTTGGTGATGAGGTTAGCGTATCCGGCTTTTCGAAAGGTGGGCGCAGTAGGGAAATCCATAGACAGAGAGATGTTTTCCCCGCCGATCCCTAGGTCAGATGTTAGACGCTATATTAAGGAAGATCCAATGTAGAGAGGTGAGAGGTGCATGAGATTCACAATTGCATTGGTAGTCACGATCGCCGTAGATGAGAGCAACGTTGATACCACTACTAATGATATGCTCGAGCGAGGACATGTCCCGGATCACGACATCGCCGGTGAGTTGAAACATTGCTACCTGGTACGTGTTGTCATTGCTGGTGAAGTTGGTGCGGACCCCGAGGTCTTTTTGCACCCATGCTTGGTTGAAGTAGCCGTTGTAGTAGTTCGGGACGCTCGACACTATGTTGGGATACGTGATATCTTCATTAGATAGCTGTATACTAAAGTGTCAGACATTTGTCCCAAAAATGCAATGCTTGCGTAGAAATACTCACCATTGTATCTGTTATATATGTCCCTAGAACGACGTCTACGCACACCTCCGCCGCTGCTTGACATATTATATTCACCTTCGGATTGTTACCCTGCGACGTAGGGTCCAACTCCCTAGCGGCGGCCCTACACTGGTCTGCCAAGTCATAACAACCAACCTCGGGAGCGGTGATGTTGCCCATGACTTGGTCGTAGAGGTCTTTGCCATACGCCTTTATGCCGTAAGTGTTATTGTAAGCCTGATGAGGGTAGCCGATGGCACTGGCACGGATGTCGATGCAGCCGTTGCCGAGGCCCAGCGTGGCTAAGGGAAGGACAACGGCATTGGCAAGGGCATGCTTGTTTGCTGAGACTTGTTCGTTTTGATTGATAAAGTAGGAGAAGAAGCCTGCGCCCCAGATACCACCATACTGAAAGAATCACTGGTGAGAAACGAAATGTGTAAGAGACAATAGCTGGAGCCTTACCGATATACTCCAAAGAGATATTTCTTTGTTCTTGGTTTTGTATTCAGGGAACCTGTGCCCGTACTAGAATTGCATTGCCTGCTACCCATTCAAGATTCAAAACGCATACTCTTGGAACCAGATCTGGGCGAACTGCCACAGAGACCGAGCCGCTTGTGCCGTCGTGTTCTGCGTCGTGTCCAAGCCCCGCGAGTCCAGAGTTGCCGCCAGGACGGTAGCATTCGTTACTGGCAGCTCCTCACCTTTCTTCAGGGGCGTAAAAACTGGTCCACCGGCTTGGTCTGTCTTTAACACGTCCAATGTGCCGTTCACTAGGCGCGAGTAAGAGAAGCCTGTCCCTACAGGCTGCTCAATATACAGCATATTGACGTGGTTGTTCCATGAGAAAGGGTTCAGGGTCGTGCTATTGGAGTCACTACCGATGATGCAGGGGAAACCTGACATGGAGTCAAGGGCGGTATATCCAGGGCCACCGCCCAGATAGATAGAAGTGGGTGCATCTTCAGCATTATGACGAGCCTCTTACTATGTTCTCAGCGTCCGACAATGCTGTCCTTAGAAGGGAACAAGAAGCTTACCAAAGTACCAAAAGTAAAGGTTGATATCATAGTCGACATGAACATCTGGGATCTTGTTGAGAAGGTTCCGGGGCATACCAACATAGCCGCTCCAAGCCTTTACGCCCGGAGTGGTCTCGCATATCGAAGTCTTGAAGTCATTTTGTCAGCGCATGGCTTCCTCATTATGACCACCGTTGTGAATAACATGGCGAGATTGTATTACTTGCCTGCTTGTATGAAATAGTCGCTCCCGGCCACCGCTTTGAGAAGAATTCTGTTAAGCCCATAGGCTCCGGTGGGAAGTTTGATTGGGCGAAAGCCGAGTTAAAGCCCCAAAGGACAGCAACAAACCCGGCACATAGGAAAGGCCGCATTATAATAAATGTGTAAGCTGCTAATTATATTTATTGTAGCTTAACTGAACCGGAATGCACTTGTTGCACTACATATTGATTGAACTTTTTGAAGGGCACACTTGTTTATTGTTATGGTTTCTGCGTCTCTGTGAGATAGTAATGCGAATCTGTCGTAATTATAGATTGGTATGCTAGGATCCAAATCCAACTTGCTATATTCGGGTATACATTTCCAAATGCAGAAGAAGAAAAAACCGCGTGGCTATTGCGTATGCTTGCGCGTCTACAGTCGTCGTCTCGGCAGCCTCGGCATTCTCGTTCTCGCGCCGCGTTTCTTCCCTAAGCTGACCGAGGAGGCGGTGTTCAGTATTAAGGGGCCGAAACGCCATGTCCGGCTAAACACGTACGCAAGTGATCCTCCGGATGCTCCTCATAGACCATATCCAATTGCCGGACAAGGGCCGTTGACCTGATCGAGAGACTTAGGTTGACGAAAAAAAGAGTTATATGTAAAATATTAGATTTAAAACTAATTGTTTAAACCATTTTACTAAGTAAGCCAAAAATAAATTTATGCTCCTATCTCTGCTCTAGTAGCCACTAAAATTCCATAATTTTTCCTTCGGCATCCATGAACCCGCCGTTTTGTGAGGCTCCGATGCTCTCAATTGTCTTAACAATTTTCGGAATTTGCACGTCCATTTGGTCCGGACCAGTCATTCCGGTGAGTTTTGTTGGAATCCAGCCAGGATGAATACCGGCAACAATGACTTTGCTCTTGGTCATCTCCATCTGCATGCCTAGAGACCTGGTGACTTGGTTCAGGGCAGTTTTGGAGACTTTGTATGCCATATACTTCCCATCTTTGTTTGCTACACCATGAGTTAGCCGTGCAAATACCCACTCACGAAATGTATCTGCCCGTGTATGGCCCCTTGGGTTCTCATATTGCATCAGCACGTATAATTCTTCCTTACTTACCAGCAATTTGGCCCGCATTTGACGCTATGTTTATAATCTTTGGGCTTTTACTCTTCTCTAGAGCCGGCATAAAGATTTGGGAGACGATGAAAGGTCCCTAGTGATAAAAATTGTGTGAATGATCACCGTTTGAATGGAGACATAACCTACGGTATACTACTTACCACAGCGTTTACACGAAATTTGTCAATCAGAGCTTCAGCTGTGACCTCATCCCACATCCTGGGACGTGTAGGAGCCCCTATTTAGAGTAAAAGTTGGCAAAAAAGCTCGAACAATAAACTTTTGGAGGAAAGCTACCGGCATTGTTAATCAAGATGTCGAGAGGCTTATCACCCCAAGAGTCAAACGCAGCGGCAATAGTGCTTTCATCAGTAACATCAAACTCTATGACGCTCGCTCCGGTTTTCCTCAACTAAATAGTCTGATTAAAATACGTGGAGATATATTAGCAGGATAAGCCTTACCTCTGCTACACTTGGGTCGTCACGGCTCTCGGGGCGTACCGAGCCAAAGACGTTGTAATTTCTCGCAATGAACGCTTTGCAAAGGCTTAATCCAATGCCACGATTTGCTCCCGTTATAAGCACGTTTTTCTTTACAGGCGCCATTTCTGCTTCTTGATTGAATGGCTGTTGCAGTGGCAAAAAGAGGCAAAAATAATGACACACCGGTTTGCAAAACTTTTTGATAGAGAGACGAGGCGAGCAGAGTAGTGAAGGTCTATGCTACAGCGAGATGACGAAAAGGAAACGGGCTCGTGCCAGGGCACGGACAAATTTGAGGCAGTGACTGCGATATCCTGCGCCTGAAAGGAATGTTGCGTTGGCGACGTGCCAACAGCTTGAACTTGAAAATGAGGGGGTGGTGATGCTGACCTCCTGACTTCGCAACTATAAAAGTAGAGCTGTTTCTCTATTGCCAACCTTTTGCTAAATAATAATAAATCTGATCACGCAAAGTCCCAAATCTTGGATTCCAGTGCAAACTATGGATTCCAGTCCCGACCTGTCTTCTTCTGGACTACTTCATCGAGCCGTTGGAGGGGTAAAACAATTTTTAGATGGAGACCAAAACCAGCCTGCCTTTGATCGAGTAGCCCTTCGCTTGTACGGGGCATTTCCAAAACAGCGCAATGGCCAATATCTACACGAACACTGGGAGCAAGGCAATCTTTTAGTTAATCATATCGTCGCATTGAACAAACGCTATCTTAATACGTCTTTGTCTCCCCAAATCTCTCCAACTTTTTACTACATACGTCTGCTTAGCAATTGCGCATGGTAAGTTCTTTTCAATATAATCTGGCTGTGCAAGTTAGTGTTCTGACATATTTAGGTTCCTTTACGAGAAAGACAATTATCATGAGGCACAAACAATATTGGTTGGCGGCCTCGACGCGTGCGAACAGCTGAAGCTAGTGTCTAAATCCCCTGAGATCGATATCATCCACGCCCATATGCTAAACACTAGTGCTATTCTTGATGATTGTGGAGGACGTTTTGACTCCCAAATTGAGAAGCTCAAAGAGGTCCTGGAAATACGGAAACGCGTGCTTCCCCAAGATCACGAAGAGATTTCTGGTGTTCTCAATAACTTGTGTCTGGCATACGAAAGTGCTATGCAATTCCAAGAAGCGTTGGAATATAGAGAAAAATCTTTAGAAGTCTGCCGGAAGCACCCGAAATCGATGTCTCGAGAAACTAAAATTCAGAAGAGAGAGTTGGTATATTCGAGATTGCTTTTGGCCATGGGTCAGCTGGAAGAGGCAAAAAAATTGTTTCCTGGACTGTCGCGATATTTTGAAATCATCCAGAACTGGTATTTTATTGGACAGTAAGCCAATTGCAAATCCCAAGGCTAATAGAAGGCTGACGAGTTTCCACTATAGTTTATACATCATTATGGGCAATTATCACTTTGCTAAGCGAAACTTTCAGAGTAGCCAAAGGTGTTTTTTGCATGCTCTGAAGCAGTATGAAGAGGTTGGAAAAGCTACGGACCACCCACAGGCAGCCGCTTGTCTCTACAAGATTGGTCGTGTTGCTTTGGAGGAAGGGGATTTGGATAAGGCGATGTGAGTAGCAGTCCCCCTTCTTCCCTATCAATCTTTGCAACATTATCTATACATTTAACTACGGAAACTGACGCCTCTACAGAGAAAAATTTCGCGAGGCAATCAAACGACTCCAATTGATTGATCCGATGAACCCTCAAATTGGAAGGATCAACTTCATGCTTGGCAAAGCATTGAAGAGGACTGGTGGTGACCACACAGATGAGATAGGAAAGCTGGAGAAAGAAATTCAGGTCATCGTGCAAAGGCTGAGACCACAGCAAGATTTATCGGCAGAGATCACAGAGGCTCTCCTTGATTCGCTAGTCGACGGGATAATCCGCTGAACAAGAAAGTAGATAGATGAATACAAATTCATCGAGAAAGTTAGCAGTGAGGCAATAGATATCTAAACCGTGTAAGTAGAGACTAGTCCTAACAGTTATGCGTCCTTGGCGTCCTTGCTAAGTCTGCCAATCAATTTCTCAGGCCATTTATGCTGGTCCTCGTGTAATGAAGTCAAATGTCCTAGAAGTCGTAGCGGATGGCTTGAGCGTCGTTGGTGAGTTGGACTGGCATAGAGCTTTCATGCCTAAGTTTTGTTACATACCTGATCTTTGGCCGGTGCGGGGGGCCTCGGAGTTCAATGAAAGCTGCATTGGCCCGTTGGCCACATCAGAAGGACAAAGCTCTTTTTTTTCCTTTTTCATACCACGTGGCCATTTGAATCTATGCGTGTGTATTCATCATAGTCACGCTCACGACTATTCTTCTGCACAAAGTAAGCAAATTTGGCAAACTATAGCCAAGAGCCATGTCTCACCAGCCTCGATATCCGGAGTCAATCTCCAACAAGACAGCGGCGGATCAACCGTCATACGAACCGTTAGAATATGCAAATACATCTTTGTGTCTGCCCAAATCGCCGGGCCGTTTTGATGGTGGAATTCATTTTGACTCCTCAACCAGAGGCATGGGAGACATCGATGTGTTGAAGACAACTGCATCAGACCTCAAAGACATGCTTAACAAAGGACTTATAACATCTCGTACTATAGTCGAAACTTATTTGGGCCAAATTAAGCGACATAATTCACAAGGAATGGTGCTTAATGCACTCATTGACATTGCTCCGGAAGAGTCGCTCTTAGAATTTGCGGATATTTTGGATGCCGAGAGAGCTGCAGGCAACCTCCGTGGAGACTATCATGGAATACCAATCGTGCTAAAGGTATGCTGGCACTAATTTGCATCATGTTGCCGATTGTATGAGAATTAATCTGTATGTCTATCAAGGACCTGATAAATACCGACCCATCTCTTGGAATGAGAACAACACTGGGCTCATATGCCATGGCATCGGCAAGACCTGCCAGAAACGCATTGGTAGTTGACGTGGTACGTTTGTATAAGTCCAAATCATCTTTCAGAAGGCTATATCGAAACTTGGACTGCATTATCGGAGAACACAGTTATTGAAATACCTACTCGTCAAAGGGTCCCAACTCAAGCAGTCAGCCCTGCGTCTGACAGTCCATCCGGCATTTCAAATATAGCAATATGTTTACTCTCATGTTTAATCTCGCTAATTGAAGTCTTCGTAGCTTCTCCAACAAGGACTCATTGTTCTAGCAAAAGCAAACCTATCAGTGAGTAACCAATTCTCAAACAACATCCATCGACACATCTAATAAGCATCACAGGAATTTGGAACCAATAAGTTAAGAAATTCCACCATTACTTTTAGGAAGTATCGTAATTACTCGAACCTGTTCTCGAACACAGATCTGGGTCTTCTCCCGTAGGCTGGTCCCCAATTGGAGGCCAAACCCAGTCTCCTTACATCATTGGGGGCGTCTCACCTGGTGACACTTTACTCGGACATAGTGTCAGTACCCAACAACGACAATTTGTTCATTACCATTCATTAACCCCGAATTTAGAATCCAGGAGGCTCTTCCAGCGGCTCCGCAGTTTCCGTTGCGGCCGGTTTTACTCCATGGTCTATTGGGGTAGAAACAGATGGATCTGTCCAAACCCCCGCTAGCCGAGCATCACTATTCGCCTTGAAGCCGACAATAGATATGATTTCAGGTGATGGTGTCTTTAAGCTGACAAATGCCTTTGACAGCCTTGGAGGAATGGCTAAATCAGCGCAAGATCTTGCAGCGCTGACTGAGATTCTTTTTCTTACAGTGCCTGGCAGTCCAATGGCCGGAAAGAGTTTGACAGCAGACTTTTCGAGCTCTCTTGACGGGCTCCGTCTAGGATTCGTTGAACCGAATGATTGGATGTTCTCTTCAACGATTCTTGAGCCAGACGAAACGTACCTGCAGCAGCGAGTATGCCCGGTTATCCCTGTCAGACCTTGGCCAATTCGGATCAGATATTAATAATTTTTAGCGAAACCATTGGAACCACGCGATGAACGAGTTAAATCGCCTGGGAGCGAAGATTGTTTCTCCAATTAAGATCAAGAAGACTTCTGAGTACACCTTCGAAGGCAAAAGCAGCTACCAAGTGATTCGATGTAAGTCTCCCTGTTGAATCAGAAAGCATGTGGTATGAAGTTCATCCTAATTCAATACAGATGGCGGCTGGAAGCGTATTATTGCTGATTATCTACATGATCTGGCGGAGACTAAGGTCCACTCACTCGAAGATATTGTAGAATTCAGCATACAGAACCCTGACCTGGAGTTTTCTGATGGTAAATAAGCCCCATTCATATGTTTGATGCACTTCAAAATCTTACAATTCATTTAGTTTGCCAGAATCAAGACTCTTTGGTTAATATATTAAAGTATGACATTCCTGCCTCTGTCGTGGACGATGCTGTCAGAGACGTCCGCCAAGCCGCTGGTCCCGAGGGTATAGACCGCGCACTGAAGGAATATGGTATCGATGCTATCATAGCACCGACTGATAGTGATATCCATTAGCTCGCGTCCTTTTCAGGTATGAACATATGAGGACATGACATCCAAAGTTTCTATGCTAACCTTCAACGTAGGTTATCCCATGGGCACTATGCTCCTAGGCTATCTGCTTCCTAGTGGGCGCCCTCATGGATTAAGCATCATCACATCCAAATACAATGATGCATTGATACTTCGAATCATGCACGTGTATGGTACAAAGTCATTTACTAGGAAAGTACCATCTCAGCTGGAAGCGGATACAGTCGGAAAGGCTTGTATTTGAGGTGGTAGCTCGTGGGTCTAGATTTAGTATGACCTGTGGAAGCAATCAGGGTTGTCAACCGACCGGCAAAGATAGCAAAGAAAAGTCATAACAAAGCCCATCTTCTCCATATAGATAGCAACAAGTGATACTCTCGAATGGGAACTCCTGTGTCAATTATCCGTCAAGTCATCTATTACGCCAGATAAACGGTTCTTATAGAAGACGTTTCTCAGCTGTTGCTGCTTATCAAAGTTAGAGAATGGCCAATTCAGCGCCTGTAATTGCAAACAGCCTGCCATCCAGCATCCCGTGTCTCGGAGTTTTTTAAGCTATATAGTAGTGTCAGAAATGAGAGGAATACAGCCATGGTAGCAGATACTAGGGGGATATAGCGATAGTTATTAAAAGTATCGGATGATAGTGACAGTTTTAAAGACATTAAAAACTGGTTATTTACTACCTGCTGGATACTTAAGTAAGGAGGTCAGCAAATAAAAGAGTTCCTTTTACATTCTGTTCTGACGTTTGAACTTCACGCAGTCGTTGAGGTGCTAGCTATTAGTTCTCTAAATTAAGATGCGATCGAAGAGAATATAAATAATCAGTCAAGTGTTATTATTCAGCTTCTCAGTTGCTTGCTTCCTGTAAAAGCCTCTTGTGCGTGGATTTGTAAAGATTTAACTGCTCTTGTCCAAAATAGGCCGTGTTCCAAGAATTGCCTAAAAGGGCATTAGCTGTCTCGATTATGAGATCATCACATGTTGAATGATGGAACCCACCAAGCTTCTCGCATTATATATCATGCAATTAGAAACCAACGAGTTCTTTTATTGTGAGTAATGGCTGTAGCATACAATGCACCTTGCTGCGCGTATTTCTAAGCAGCTGTTTGCTGGCGCATTTGGGTCCTATTCAACTCGTCTGAGAAGTATTTATATACTATTAGACCCTCATCCTGGCATTCGCGACAATATTTCCAACAAGTTTCACAGCAGCGGTCAAATACAAGAGCGTTCATTTCATCACACTAACAAATTAGATTATCACAAGTCTCCCAAAATGGCACCTCAACCACATATCAAGTTATACACAGACTCAACTCCCAATGGAATTAAGATCACCACAGCATTGGAAGAGCTTGGGCTCCCTTATGAGCTAGAGCACCTCGACATCAGCACTCTTCGCCAAAAAGAGCCATGGTATCTTGAGATCAATCCCAATGGCCGCATTCCTGCCATTGTCGACACATTTGACGACGGCGAGCCAATTAGAGTGTTTGAAGGTGGAAGCATCTTGCAGTACCTGACTGATCGCTATGATCCCGAACACAAGCTCTCGTTTCCCAAGGGCAGCAGAGATTATTATGAATGCAACAACTGGCTATTTTTCCAGCATGGAGGTGAGTCCACTAGATCCTTTATTTTCCCTTCTCCCTCTTGCGCAATTGCGGCATCTGATCAATCGACTAATTGTTGTCATTATTTAGGCATTGGACCCATGCAAGGCCAGGCGTCCCATTTCCTGCGCTATGCGCCCACCAAAATTCAGTATGGAATTGACCGATATGTCACTGAGACAAAGCGGCTCTATAATGTCCTTGATGTTCAACTTTCGAAATCTAAGTCTGGATTTTTAGTCGGAGATCACATCTCAATTGCAGACATCGCAGCTTTGTCCTGGGTCATCTTTGGTCCCTACGTGGATGTTCCCTTGGATCTTTTCCCAAATCTGCACAAGTGGGAAGCAATGCTGAGCGCAAGGCCCGCTATCACTAGAGGATTCCACATCCCCAAGGTATTGGGCATTAAGAGCGATGACCCGGAAGGCGCTGCAAAGTACCAGCAACGTCATGCTGATTGGGTGTTCAAGGGCATGCAGGCTGATCAGCAGGCCTTTGGTCAAAAGTAATGGTTATATGGGCAGAATAGATAGAGTCCTCAGATTTCCAATGGACATGTATTAATGACGTATATAATGGTACAAAGTTCTAGCGCAAACTCGCAATTTCTTGCCCTCTTTCTGCTGTACTTAATAATGGACGCAATTTTATCATACAACATACCCGTCACTTCCGTCTCAGTGGAACTATAGACCTTGTGTAAGAGGTTATTTGAGCTAACCTTATACACTAATTCTACCTTGGAGGACATCAAAAAAACGGATGTTGGGGTAGTTTGCCCGCGGTCCGCTGCAAAAGAGGCAAATGCCGTAGTCGTGCTATGTATCTTCGGGTTTCTTCATGACCTATTTACCTGTAAGCATTGCCCGAGTTCAAGGCTTTCAACTCGAAACCCAGTCATTCAACCTTCGTATTTCTCCTCTCTCGCCCGGGAGCGCCGTTGGAAGAATTGCTTACAAGAGCAGAATACGCGCATCTGGGAACCACGCGGGAGCCCCGCATCTCCGCGAGCTAACAAAAGCATCTTTCCTGTCTTGGAATATACCATGGATGATAAAATTCCCTGTTTCGGAAAGAGTGAAAAAGAGTAGTGGCTTCAAGTCCTTGGCACGCATGTCAGTAAACATAAGTTCCGTTATTAATGAATAGCTTAATTTCAGCTTCTAGTCTTACCATTAGAAGTAAACATCATACTAGAGAGTGTGTGTTGCTATAGTAGAAAACAGCTGAAATGTAGCATCTGAAAGGGGAGATATCTCAAACAGCCACATCATAGTAATATTCAGATGGCATCAAGTAATTACCACCAGCTTTCTTCAGCCATCGCTTCTTCAACAGAGCAACTGAGTCAATATGTTGAGACTTCCAAGATACTCCTTACTGAATGCGTAATCGGTATATCCTTTGAATGATTTGGTGGCGAATAAGTCCTGTTGGCTATAAGGAGTGAACTCCAGATCATGCTGTATCCTGAAAACAAGATCTGGGTTTGACGTGAAATACCTCCCAAGCATTACCACAATATCTTTGTCTGGATGACGTCCATCAACAAGATTTTTGGCTAGTTTTGAGTTATAGCCACCTTGTATAAGAATCGGTCCTCTGAAAGCGGTGCAGGCAAAATCCAACCATTCGTTATCTCGAATGCCATTCGACTCAGCAATGCGTGGCTCAGTCAAGTGGATGTAAGCAATCTTCAAATCGTCTGCTCTTTTTATAACGTCTGTAAATTGAAGAGCGGCATTTTTCTTCAATCTGATGTCTTGAGAAGTGCTTCCTGAGCTCAGGCAAAGTCCAACACGCTTGATCCCAATTGCATGAGCCACAGCTTTCATAACCTCATGCAGGAATCGAGAACGATTCTCAACGCTACCACCGTACTCGTCGTTACGCTGATTAGTATCTTCCTGAGTAAAAGCGTCGATGAGATCGCCAGTTGCACCAAGAAGTTCCACGCCGTCAAAGCCTGCTTCGGCTGCATTCTTAGCAGCCCGTACGAAATCTTGTACAGTATCCTTGATTTCTTCAATACTCATAGCCTTTGTCGTAGGGAGATCTGTGTCCAAAGAGATGGTACCAGGGCCTCTGATGATGGTCGCCTCCTTTCCCAGTATTTCGTGTTTCAGTACGCATAGTTGAGCAAAGATATAGCTTGCTCTCATGTGGACTTCGACAATCGTTTTCCAAGCAGCTGTCTGTTCGCGTGTAAAAAGTCCTGGTGCATTACGCAAACCAACATTCCTCTTTGATATGAGATTAGGTTCGGTAATCAGGAGGGTTCCTGGCACAGAGGCTCTCTGGCAGTAATATTCTTTCATGAGATCTGTCGGTACATGCTGATCATCAGCCCGAAACCGACTGACCCCTGCCATTCCAATCCGATTTTTAATTTCGATGTTGCCAATGTTCAAAGGGATAAAAAGGCGGGATTCATCCATTTGTTCTGGCAAGATAGTGAAGTAGATATTTCGAGGTGGGTGAAGAGAGGAAGAGAGTCACTGAAAAATAAATCCAGTTCATTGTTGCCGTCAGTATAAATATGTACGGAAGGGCATTTTAGCTGCATAGCTTAAGAGCCAACAGATAATAATGAGACCTTGAAATATCATGCTTGAACGAGTAGGTAATTGCAATGATATCTAAGTGAGCACTGTACCATGGTGAAGAGGGTGTGGAATTTACGTGTGTGTAGGTAACTAGACGTAAGCTGAACTGCGGACCAAGAGCGGACCAGGATATGCATAATGCAATTCTTTCTGCCAGAACTTTGGGCGGCATATGTTTTTTCTTCACTTTTCTCTTTTTCATTTCACCAACTTAGACACGGGTCAAGTATATGTGGTTGATGCAATCTGAAGGAAAGTTTACGTTTTATAGCGACATAAGATGCTGAGTAGTCACGGCATTCTTTTCATTCTTTGGGAAGTTTTCATTTCTTCTAAGATTTGGCATCCAGTCTCTGTGTAGATGGTCGCCTCCGGATATGTTCAGTATAGATAGTGAGCGAGTTCTGACGATTTCTGACGGTATGGTCACAGCGGCAACTAGATATCCTCGCTACTTTATGAGTCTGGCTACATATTTTTCATCAAAGAGATCTCTATGATTTAGACAGGTAACCGTCATCAGGCTCATACATTTCACTTCAAATTGTGAAATTGTCCCTTTGATGAAACAATACTATGCTTTGAAGCGCGCCTTTCGTTTTCTTTCCCACTAACTGTTCAAAAACAATGTTGCTTTCAAAGCTTTGGCGTACAAGTAAATTAACCGGGCAGGTTCTCTTAGCAGCGCTGACAAGAGTTTACGATCAAGTGATTACAGGAGTTTATTTGAGCAACATTTTGGTCATTCAGGATACCTGATTGCGAATGCCTGTTGGTATGTTGAATCCTGAGTGATGGCGAGTTCTTGTACATTCCAAGCACTATCACGCTACTTGGACCCTCTTCCAACACCACCATCTTTACATACATGACTGCATCTGTTGTTTGAAGTATCGGTGTGTTCTTTACATCTGCTACTTATCTAGTGGTTAGCCGGTCATTGAAATGTACAGGATTTTCCCAGTTAGGGAAGAAATGTGCTCGAGGGGCACCTCTTTATACCCGCGATAAAGCCCGTGTTTTACTAACTACATTCAGCAAAGCGTTATATAAGTACCTAAAGCTCTATAATTTCATAGATGAAAAGTTATATTTTAAAGTACTCTTAAATATTTCATCAATTCTATTACTTTTATGTTGTTTATGCTAAAGGCCCCCTGGGTAAGCGGGCTGCTTAAGGAGTATAGCGCACTAAGATACATGTATCTATACGAATTGAACCTAGCTGCCTAAAAGAAACCCGCCTAAGAGCGGTGAAGCTGCGCTGCTCGAAGCTACATGTATCCAAGACGTGCTTCTTAAAGCTGCATGTGCGTGCTGAAGCGATATATACTAACGTTATGTGCTGAAGCTCCTGTTTAAGTCATGATAATAATTATGTGGTGTTGCAGTGTAAGATGCAATATATATCAAAAATACATGTAATTTATTATATCAGCTGGTGTACTTTACCAAATTCAGATAAGCTTTTTTAAACGCTTTGCTAGATTAGGCGGGCAGTAAAATAATGGGCTATCTTAGGCAGTACCTAAAGAGGTGGTGCCCGTGGTCGAGAGATTTCTACAACAGGTTAGACTACATGTATACTTAAAGTGTGTATGCCGTTTCACCAATATCTCCAAGAATTACTGGACGATATCAATACGTCACATTTAACTCCATGCTTTGCAATCAACTCGAGGCTTAAAGTGGATAATACGTTGTTACAGATATTTGTGGCGTGATTGTCAAGAAAGAATCAGAAAACGCCTCAATGTTACCTTTCCCGGTCAAGCAAGAGAAGCAGGGAGCTACGCGACTGAGGCTCCTCCTGAATCCTAATGGCTCTGAAAAGAGCTCTGTTACATTGCCAAGAAACGGCATAAATTTCACAATCATAACATTATTTCCAGTAAACTCCCACTAACACGACCTTCGAAGCGACAATATCTAGTCTTAGCAATGCGCAACATCACCATAACACATGACAAGGTACCATCATGCCACGATATTTCTATATCCTCACTGCGTAGTGCCTCGTAGCTCATATTTAACAGATACACGTATCAGGCCATATCTTATATCTTGACAAGCTCTCTATTTTTACGCCAATAGGTTGAACGGCGCAGTGACAACGAGTAATCATCTGCATGGGGCGTTGAGAATCTATCGGGAAAGACTAGGTCAGACTTGGTCTCCAATCACTTATGCTAACACCGAAAGGAATAGATCCAGTAATTTGATTAACAACAAACGATTTTATGCGAGTGTCTCCGCAACCACTAAGTTCCACGAATGCGATGAAGTGAGAAAAGCTTCTGGCCCAAGGTCTATTACAAATACTTAGATAAATAACTCTGCATACCTTGGCTAAATGTGTACATAATATTTCGGGAGATGTACCTAATTCCTTGCCAATTAGCAATCCGAGAAAGGTCTCCGTGGATGCATTAGATGTCAGGTGGACCCGCTGACGAATTCTACGTTGGTAATGCGATTCTTGAGCGATGCATACGAGGGATATGTTTCTGCTATAAAGCGTAATCCATTCTACTAATCTTCTCAAATGGATCATATAATATCTAGTACGCAACAACATCTATCTAATCACTCTTAATTGACCATGCCATCAATCGACGCCCTTGTGGTTGGAGCTGGATTCGGTGGAATCTACCAGCTCTATAAGCTCCGGGAGCTTGGACTCTCGGTCAAGTTAATTGACAAGGCTTCCGACGTGGGCGGCACATGGTATTGGAACCGTTATCCCGGCGCCAACAGTGATTCTCTCAGCGAAGTATACAGATACAGCTGGGATAAAGAGGATTTATTGACATATCCATGGCCAAATCACTATGTATCTCAGAAGGAGATTTGGGATTATCTAAAGCATGTGGTCAAGCGCCATGACTTGCGAAAGTACATGCAATTCAGCACTGAACTCGAGTCCGCATCGTTCGACAGCTCTTCATCTTTGTGGACTGCTCAATTGTCCACTGGCGAGACCATCCAGACCAGATACTTGCTTACCGCCTTGGGGACTTGGTCCAAGGTGAACTATCCGGTCATTCCTGGAATCGAAAAATTTGCAGGCGAAAAATATCACACAGGGTACGTCTTTTCTACTAATCAGCTAAAACAAAGTTCTTACAAAAGTTTGCAGAAATTGGCCAAAAAATTATGACTTCAAAAATAAACGAGTCGGTGTCATCGGAAGTGGCTCAACAGGAGTCCAGGTTACGATTGCCCTTGCCGATGAAGTGAAGGAGCTCATATCCTTCCAACGCTCGCCGCAATACATCGTTCCCAATGGAGATGGGCCCGTCTCAGCTGAATTCAGAGACAACGTCAACAAGAACTACGACGAGATTTGGGACGGTGTTCGTAACAGCTACGCTGCGCACAATGTGAAGGAGAGCACGATACCGGCCATGAGCGTCAGCGCGGAAGAGCGCGAACGTGTCTTTGAATCGCTTTGGAAGCAAGGAAACGGATTCCGATTCATGTTTTCAGCTTTCTCGGACATTGTTATCAGTGAAGAGGCTAATGAAGAAGCTTGCAAATTTATTCGAAAGAAGATTTCTCAGATCGTGGAGGATCCTGTCAAGGCTCGAAAGTTGTCCCCTGATGGATACTATGCTAGACGGCCTATTACTGCGCCCGCCTACTATGAGACGTTCAACAAGAAGCACGTGGATATTGTTGACCTGAGAGAGACACCCATTACAAAAATTACTGAGAAAGGCATTCTCACCAATGAGAAGCTGCACGAGCTGGACGTCATCGTTTTTGCGACTGGCTTTGAGGTTGCCGATGGAAATTACACCACCCTCACTATCAATGGTCGCCAGCAATCTCTCAAAGAGCACTGGGCTGAAAAAACGACTTCTTATTTGGGCGTAGCTGAAGCAGGATTCCCCAACATGTTCTTGGTCGTGGGACCTCTGTCGCCATTCAACAACTTCCCGCCGACAATCGAGACCCAGGTCGACTTTATTTCAGGATTGATATCAAAGGCCGAGGCAAAGAGAAAGGAGGAGGCTTCAGATAAGGCAGTCCTCATTGAGGCTACCCAGCAAGCTGAGGATGACTATGTCGAAGCGTGTCGCGTGCTTGGAACGAAGAATCTCTTTAGAAAGGAGAAGTCGTACATTTTCGGCGCCAATATCGCAGGAAGGAAGCCAAACATTCTTTTCTGGGTTGGAGGTCTGGTTCACTACAGAAAGGCTCTTCAAGACGTGGTGGATGATGGGTATCGTGGATTCACATTTTCGTATTAGATTCGGTTGTTAAGATGGTTTTGCCGGGAATTGTAGAAACTTTGTAGAAGCAATAGCATTTCCATCTTCCACTTTTACAAAACTGTCCATCACTGTTCTTATCATCACTTTATCACATTTTTTTCATCATCACCGTGTACAATATCTTGTATAAGGCGTGTATTACCGGCTAATGCTTACTTATATACTGTGTGTGATACCAATCATCCATCTCCCCGCCAAAGGCTGAGGTACACCTCCTCCATATTCACGATCAAAACGCCCCAGTAGCACAAAGTCCATATGACAGCTCATCACTGTTTTTTTTTTTTTTTTACTAACAGTGAGAAGATAAATGCCGCCCTGTAATCTATGATACCGAGCCCAAAATGCTCGTTGTTTATATACACCAGATACGGAGTGAAGCAGTGCTATCATGAGGTTAATCGCCATGATCCAGAGACCTCAAACAAATATTAAGCTGAACAAACATCCTCTCATGCTATCGGATGTCGTATTTCTGATCTATTCATAAAAGCCTCATCCGTCATTCTCAAAAGCAAACCTCTGCCTCAATGTGTACCAGAACACGAATACTCCTCATCTGCCCCTGCAGAAATGCCGGTTGTGTTGACTACGGTGATATTTGCAATGGACTCGGCCACATTATTGATGTTGACATCACCAGCCGAGGCGTGTGGGATTATTGCACCTGGTGGTTTGTTAACGGCCCTCCAGAGCTTGTTCTGAATAGCTACATCGTGCCGCAATGCAAGGATCTTGCTTGGGAAAACATCAAGACAACAGCAACGGAGATCTGCGATAAGTGTAAAAGAGAATGCCAATGAATTAATTGGAGAGGGCAAGATTTCTCATGGGACCTGTTTTCAGCGATACAGACATTTCGTCCCAACGTCCTTCATTTTCGGAATGATCATGTTCTCACGGAGGAATCATTCCATGGTATATGAACAAAGAGAGTTATGGCAACAATACAATTCATATTTGAGATATTGCGATTGTCTTGAAGCGACTATTGCTCCCGTTTTCTAGGCGCAACTTATATGCTCATCTATGAGTTATAAGACAATAAGCATTTTCGCTTCATTCCCTATTGGTCAGAATCGGCCTAACTCTCAAAATGACCAGATGATGACCAGCTATTCGTAAAAAATAGTCATCCATGAGCTCGAACGATACTCCGAAGAGTGGATAGCATTTCTGTCTTAAAACTCCATAAAAGTTATATCATATTCCATGGGTTTACTATGGGTATAAGAACATCGGAATTGGCTAAAGCCGCTGACAAATTTGCCTGGTCCTCATTGACGGAGCCTTATTTAGACGCCGCATTACGCCATGACAAATGTGGGCGATTCATTTCAACTTGGCGATGCAGAATCGGGGAGATCAACCATCCGGCTTAGTTATAGAAACCTTCCAAATGATGCCGCTTCTCCAAATTACTGCTGCTTCGAATCGTGCTTCGCCGTGATTGTAAAAAGCAGCCCTCGTATAACGCAACGTAGATTACCTAAAAATACCACCTTGTCCATGGACAACTGTCTTATTTCCGCAGCGGGGCTTGACTCTGTGAATGATCAACCTCAAGAGAAGCATACAACAGCAAACGCCGAGCAAGTAAGTTCATGGTGTATTCAACAGACACTTGGCATTTCTTTTAGCTGCCAAAGCTTTTATAAGTACTCCTTCCCATTCTCTACATTATCCTCCCCAACACACAAACTGCTCCTTCTATGATCTCTCACTAACACCAATCTCAAGTCACCATCTCTCAACTCAGCAAACCAAAGCCGCCATAATGAAGGAACTCTTTATCTATGCGGAGCCCAAATACGGTGGTGTAATCAAGGAAACAGAAATACCGTAAGTCATCCTCCAAATCTTGTTCCAAGCCTTCACTGACATGCCACCAGAAAACCAGGGCCGAAGGAGGTTCTCATCAAGGTTGCATTTGCGGGGTTGAATCCCAAAGATTGGAAGGTATGAGAAGACAAATTAACTCATTACTACTCACTTCATAATATTAACAATATTCTGTCCACAGGCTACGCGAGGGTTAACTGAACCAGAAGCCTTCAATACTGGAGATGATGTAGCCGGCATCATCGAAGCAGTAGGCTCGGAAGTATTCGAGTTCAAAAAAGGGGATCGTGTCGCAGGTTTCCACCGGATGCGCCATCCTCACGGCACCTTCGCCGAATATACCGTTGTCAAATCATCCACGACGTTCCATCTCCCTCCAAACATCTCTTTCGAATCCGGCGCTGCATTTCCCCTAGCCTTCATGACCGCCGCCATCGCCTTGTATCAATGCCTGAAACTACCGATTCCAACAACCTTGCAAGATCCTGCAGCCGGAAAGACCCCCATATTGATCTGGGGCGGTGCCACTGCTGTGGGAGCTTTCGCTTTGCAACTCGCCAAGCTGAGCAACGTCGGTCCCATCATCACCGTCGCCGGCAACGGAATCGATTTCGTCAAGTCTCTCAACGCGGCGGACCACATCATCGATTACCGAGAAGGAGATGTAGTCCAGAAGATCATTAACGCCGCAGGATCATCCAAGATTAAGATTGCGTTTGACTCAGTTTCCGACTCCGTCAGTTACGAACCCATCAGTAAGGTGCTCGTCGCATCAGGCGGCGGCGAAATCAACATGGTCGATCCCGTCAAGCCGGGCTGGACATTCCCTGAGGGCGTGAAACTCTCGCGCACAATGGTTGGTTCGTCCCACGGCGATACTTGGGGCTTCGTCAACGAGGAGCAAGCAAAGGTGGACCAGGAGTTTGCGTATTGGTTCTACAGGTATCTCAGCCACTTGCTGGCAGAGGGCAAGATCAAGCCTCACCCAGTCGAGGTGCTTCCAGACGGCTTGAATGGCGTAGTCGGTGGTATACAGGCACTCTATGACCGGAAGGTCAGTGCGAAGAAGCTTGTGGCGCGGTAAGTTGAGAACATTAAGTGCGTATGGCAGACTCCTGAACTAACACCATCATTATAGCATTGGAAACGATCTGTAAATTTGCCTTGCCCAGCGAAAGCAGCCACTTAGTAGCTCAGAAGTATCTTGCTGTAATCCAATGCATAAATTTGTCCAGCTGGATAATGACACCACAAATACACAAACATGGAAGAGGTCTTTAGAAATTAAACCATCCTTCACCTCTTCATAGACAAGATATAAAAGAAATTACCTTTAAAATCCCAAATCAATCTTCAAGCTATCCAATTGCCCAATAACACTCACAGCCTGACTCTCTCCCTTCTTGACATAGGCACTCTGCGGAGGCCCCAGATACGTGTACCGTAAATCACCAAGATCAAGAATCAACTTCTCCAGACAGACATTCTGGCTCCGGAATCGCACTTCAATGGTGTGACTGCCCTTCTTCACCGTACCCAAGTTGTGCCCCTTCTTCCAGACACAGTCCATGACAGCCCCGGCCCAGCCTCTAGGAACGTCATCGGCGTTCGCTTCATCGTCAGTAAGACGGAATGTTTTGATGGGTCCTCCATCGAAGCGCACGTCGTACTGCATTCTGCTCGTCTTTTCAGTCTCAAGAGTAATGTTGAACTGAAGCTCGAGATTAGTATTGTCATGCTGTGAGAAGACATAAATCGGATATCGAAGGAATGGAATGTCATCTGGCTTGCTAAAATCGTAATCAAGGGGCAGAGTGACAGCTCCAGCAATAGGTCGACCTAGTGCAGGATGCAGAATGTATGGTGCCGTAACTACGTTGCCGGCGTCAATAGCCAAGTGGCCGCTCTCTTCAACAAACCCTTCAAAGTCTGCGGGAACGCGGCTGTTCCGCACAGTCATGTGGACTTGCTCGTAACCATCACGAGTACCAATGACTTCAATAATAACTTTGCCGTCAAAATTAGTGGGTACTTCTGACCAGTCAATAGTGATGATGACCCTGATGTCGTCGTCTCGGGGGTTCAGATGCCCTTGATATTGAGAAAGCTTGATCCACTTGTACTGTGGTCGAGCCTCCCAGGAAAACTCCTTTGTCCCGCGATGAAATACCTCAAAGTAGCGGGTCTGCTCTCCATAAGGTGTGATGAAAGGCAGAGTTACTCCAGGCTCGAGGCCGCCTCGGGATGGATGGGTTCTGTCCGAGTCCTCGTTGATGTGGCCGGGATTGATGCCTTCGATACCCTCTACCGCGATACCCATATGACCAACACTCGGGTTCGAGTCTTCTCTCGTTTGTACATAGCAAAGCCCATCAATCATGTTACGCGACGGCTCGGCACCAGTATCACCGTAGCCATAGTGAGGCTGGCGAAGCATAAGATCCCATTTACCATCTGAAATGGAATTGTACTCTTCGAACAAATCATGATCGGCATCCAAAAGTTCGATACACTTTTTCAGCATAGTGTTAGTCGTGTTTCGGCGCTGCTTGGCAAAGAGCTGATTCGTGTATTGGGCCACGCGCACTTGTGTGAATATGTAAGTAGCCTTGACAGGATGAAGTACGAGCTGGAAAAAGGCAGATTTGTGCTCTTCGTCAATGTGCGAGTATATGGCTTCGGTTTCTCCCAAGAGCTGTCGCCATCGCGCAATGATGTTGTCCGATTCATGGTATTTCTGGATGACAAAAGTAGATGCATCAATGTGATCCTGCTTTCGAATCGCCACCAGCTTGTTGAAGTCATACCAGGACTTTGCAATCCGACCGGCGTACTGTTCACCAAACTCTCGAGTAGCAAGATGCTCAAAATATTGTGGCAGAGTGGTTGCCGTGATGGAATTAATATCCCAAGCCAGGTCAAAAGCAAAGCTCATGGGAACCTCAACAGGCTTCAAGTCTCCGACATTGAAGATCCAGATACGATCGGCACCTCGGTGATGGGCTAATTGGAGCTGATGAAGGGCCTTGCCGAGGGTGTTGCTGTTGATCCACCTGTAGCAGCGCGGATAGCCTGTGTATTGGAAATGATAGTAGAAGCCCGAGCCTCCAGACCTCTTGTTCTCTTCCTCTGTTGGGAGACGACGGAGATTGCCAAAGTTGTCGTCGCCAAATAAGAGAGTCACGTCGTCGGGGATCACGAGTCCCTTTTCATAGTATCCCTGAACTTCTTTGTAGAGCGCCATGAGCTGCAAAACGCCATCTTCCTTGCCGTAATTCTTCTTGATGATATTTCTTTGTACATCAAGTACTTCGGTGAGGATCTTTACAGGATCGCCTCCAGTCATTGGTACATCGCCTTCGCCTCTCATTCCCATGGTAAAGTAGGATTCATAGGGCACAGCTCTCTCAGCTCCCTCTTCAAAGTAGTGCGTGACCTTTTCTTTGTTTGTATCCCAGTTCCAGGTGCCTCCTGGCTGAGTAGTAGACCACTCGTTCATGGCCCTCTGCATCGGCTCATGATGAGAAGTACCCATGACGATGCCGTAAGTATCTGCGAGCTCCTGGTTCTTGGGGTCGTCCACGAAAAACGACCGTCCCGGATATGGATATCCCCTCCACATTGCGGGCCACATGAAATTAGCCTTGAGGCGCAAGAGAAGCTCAAAGATGTAATGATACAGGTTGGCATCAAATGTGGGACCGAACTTTTCGTGTACCCAGCTGTCCATGCCAGGGCACTCATCATTAATAAAGATGCCACGATATTTAACACTGGGCTCGCCATTGCTTGTGGTTACAGGCAAGGCATAGATTTGCTGCTGCTTCTTTGGGGGCACATCCGCCCACCAATGCCATCTATTATTTGACGGCTTGTCAGAATTCACTGGTCCACTCTCAATCTGTGATTTGGGAAGAAGCTTACGGTGACACGCCAATTTGCTCCGAGAGGGAGTAGGTTCCAAAGATGGTTCCTCGTTTATCGCTCCCAGCAATGACCAGGGCGTCATCATAGCCATCAAAGGGCTCGTGTACAACCGTTGTGATCCAAGATTCCCATTTACCTTCGATTTGGCTGGGGTCAATCTTGCCTTGCTCCTTTAGCTGCTGGATCAAGGGCGATTTAGTGAGAGAGCCGATGACGATACATGATCGAGCCGGCGGAGCCGAAGGGCGAGTCTTGACAATTGGATTGCAGCGCTGTCCGGTGACCTTGGTAAAGTCCTGCGAGAGGTTGTTTGCCGCAATATGGACGCCCTCGTAGTCTTGCTCGTCGACAAAGATCTCAGCGCCGACGATGCTGAAGCCGTCGCCGGGCTCAAAAGTCACTACCTTTTGTTCAAGCATGGCTGTGACTGGCTGCAAGCTCTAGACGAGTGTGATGACGCAAGAGCTGGAGACAGCAGAAGAGAGGAATGAAGCTTATTTGTAGCTGGTGAAGCTCTATATGGAACATGCGTCTGGGGCTAGGTACACCGAGTATCAGCTCATAAACAGCTTCTCTCCGTGACGACGTCACGCGGGCATGGATTGTCGTGTCGGGTAATACGATGGACTGCTCCTCATTTACCGGACGCCACGGGATCGGCTGGAGACCCGATGGGAGGCCGGATATTATGTTGACTGGGGCCTGGGCACTCTGATCCACTAGCCAGGGATGGCGATCGAGACGGCGGGAGTCGTGAAAGTGAAACTTTGGACTTTTGTTTTGGCTCCTTGCAGATGTTGGGTTTAGATGTCAGCGACTATTTTAGTCATCCAAGGATACGATTAAACGTGAATCATCGAGTTTCATGTCTATTATCTTCCAATTGATTAACGATACGGAGTAGAGGTCATCGAAAGTGAGGCCAAGGGATGAGACCAGACGTCTTACAGCATCTCCGCAGCCACAAGGCAAGGTTCATCAGCGGTACAACCCCGCGTTTACGGCATCCACACCATCTCGATTCGTCGCTATTTTTGTCACCAACAGGAACGTGCGGTTCCATCACATGCAGTGTTCGATGAACTGCCTTGCATAATAGGAGAATTCAGCTTGATTATGTACAAAAGAGCCTCTCTATTCATGACCTGGCCATAAATGCTTATCAGGATATTAGATTCTCTCTTCTCCACCATATATGTACACATTGTCTAACATTTGAGCGCAAAGCTCTTGTTTGTAATTTCTTCAAGAGATGACGACGCCAAATGTCTAAAATGGCTCGCATTATGTAAATTGTCGCAATAGAACCGCCTCTTAGATTTCTTCGTGGTTGTATTCTAATCATCAGAGAACATGGCATGGATCACGGGCAGCAAGTCAGCTGGCCAAAGGCAATAGATGAAGGTAGGTCGACAGTATCATGATGCTGTGTGACCAGCCGCTGCCACCGCAAGGATTTCCTCCTCAAACCCGGGGATATAGTGAACTTCAACACCGCCCTCCTCAAGTAGCTGGCGGCCGGGATTCTTTCCGACAAAAGTCTCAGGCTCTAGAACCCCTACATAGACCTTCTTGATCCACGACTTCTGGCGAAGGATGCGCTCAACGCACGGCAGCTTGCCGCTGAGCCGCTTGAAGCAGGGCTCGACGGTGGTGTAAAGGACATGCGGGCTCTTCATAACAGCTCCGAGTCCCTCCTCAGTGGTGGAATGTTCTTCTGCGAGCTTCAAAAGACAGCACTCCTCGGCATGTGTGTTTCCCTCCAGCTCCAAGGTATAGCCTTCAGCAGAGATGTGGCCGTCTTCCAGTCTCTTCAAGATGGCGCCGACGCGGAAGTTTGTCGGCTTTGGCGGGGATTTCTTTGCCAGCTCCAATGCATGTTGCATCGACGTCTTGTGATCTTGGCTTGCTGGGGAATCCATGATGTCCAGGTTGTATCCAACTAATTTACTTGTAGGAATCCAATACTGCTGGTTGCTTCGATTTTGACAGTGAAAGTTCAAGTTGCATTCTAAGCTATCAGTCAGTATTAGTGAGCTTAGGCCTGCAACCTCCGGATATAGGGCGGCAGTTAGTGGATCCCGGCTGCCGACTCCATTAAGCTTAACGGTGTTCCTGAGCGCGTTGCGACGCGTGACCCAGCTAAAGAGCTTCACCTTTGATCAGCCTACCCTCCTCCGAGACTCTGCACTGCAACACAAACTTGCAGCGTTCCATCGAGCCTTGAAAATGTCGGACCACGAAGATGTCGTCGACGGCGAGCCGCCCGCAATCGACCCGTATGAGGTCCTGGGGCTCGAGCGCAATGCAACTGCTGACCAGGTCAAGAGCGCATACCGCAAGGCAGCGCTCAAGAATCATCCAGGTGGGTTGCCTAGAGAGAGGTCTGGAGGCGTCGTCACTCGCCATTGCTAACATTGGACGCTGCAGACAAGGTGTCCGATTCCGAAAAGGAAAAGGCTCATGAGACCTTCCAAAGCATTGCATTCGCCTACGCCGTCCTGTCAGACCCCGCGCGACGAAAGCGATACGACACCACTGGATCAACATCCGAGTCCATTGTCGACTCAGAGGGCTTCGACTGGAGCGAATACTACCGGGAGCAATACAAGGATGCAATCTCCGAAGATGCCATTAAGAAATTTGCCGCGAAGTACAAGCACTCCGACGAAGAGAAGGATGACCTCCTCATTGCCTACGAAGAGTGCGAAGGCGACATGGACCAGGTGTACGAACGAGTAATGCTCAGCGATGTTGTCGAGGATGACGAGCGGTTCCGCAAGATCATCGACGAAGCAATTGAGACGGGCGACGTGCCCAGCTTCCCAGCCTACAAGAAGGAAAACAAGCGAAAGCGCGCCGCTCGTGCCAAGGCGGCAAAGGCTGAGGAAGCAGAAGCAGAGGAGCTGGCCAAGGAGCTTGGTGTCCACGACAAAATCTTTGGAGGCAAGACAAAGGGCAAGAAAGGCAAGGGGAGCTCAGAGGACGACTTAGCAGCTCTGATTCAGAAGCGGCAGCAGGACCGTGCAGGGGACTTCTTCAGCCACCTCGAGGAAAAATATGGCGCAAAGAGCGCTGCAGGCAAGAAGGGCAAGGGGAAGAAGCGCGCTGTGGATGAAGACGAAGAGGAACCTTCAGAGGAGGCGTTCCAAGCAGCTGCAGCGAGGCTTAAGAAGGCCAAGGCTTCTACAAAGGATGAGAAACCTGCTTCAAGCACGGGTCGTCGATCGACGAGGTCTCGGCGGTAGAGTCAATGGAGCGTATGCTTTTGAGTATGGGATACAAGCCGGGCTGGTTTATTTCACAGGGCAAGGGGAAAGGGATTCGGGATTTGGGTTTACGGCGTCACATTCACGCAGCACATGCTATTCGGAAAACATGTTTTGGTATTTTACAGCCTCAGTTGGGCGCTGAGTGTGTGCCTGGGTAGATTTTCTATACGAGTATTTGTTGATAAAAATTCATGAATAAAATACACTGATGATAATTCGTACCATATTGCGCTGATGTTTATAAGTCATGGAACCCTGGAAATTCACATGTGTAGCTAACAAGTATAGCGTACAAGCTTCCGTGAGCTAGCGGGGCTTGAGGTGACGCGCCACGGCAACGAACGGCCTTTCCCACAACGCATCTGCTCCAACCCTGGATTTTCTTCTCCTTCAACGACTTACCAGACGATGAGCGCAAAGCCAATTGCGCGGGTATGGGTGCATGCGCTTGATTTGCCAGTGAATCAAGGCATCAGGACGCGCATTCCATGACCGAGGCTACCAAAGCTGCTCTTTATCCGCGATACTGCTTCCACCTATCGCCTACCGTGAATACCTGGTGTCTGCTACGAGCTGCCGACATTCACGCTCTAGATCAACATGCTGGCTTTGAAGGTGCGCATCTACTGGTGTCAACATAAATTTTGGCAGTTGAAGCTTACTGTATTTATAGGAGAAAACTTCTTCTTCTATAGAAACCTCCCGATAAAATGGGTGCGAGTGGTTGGCATCGTCGTGGCCATCGAGCAATTCTTCAACCGGCGGCTTTACACCATCGATGATAGCAGTGGTAGAAACATTATTGCTGTGACTACCCCGCCAGTGCCCGCAAAGCCAAAGAACGAATCGGCCGTCGGCGAACAACGAACGGGCAAGGATACAGATGCACCAGAGGCCGATCCTTATGCAGATATCGATGTTGGCGCGGTGGTGGATGTGAAAGGCAGTGTATCATCGTTCCGCAACGAACACCAGATCAATATCGAGAGGATGGCCGTTGTGAAGAGCACAGCTCAAGAGGTAGTACTATGGGAAAAGCGTACAAAATTTCGCCGCGAGGTCTTGGGCGTGCCTTGGGTGCTCCGGGACAAAGACGTACGCCGATGCCGTCGAGACGCAGAGCGATCAGAAGCTGAGGCAGAGAAGAAGAAAGCGAAGAAGCAAATAAAGGCCAAGGAAGCTAAATCAGGGATTACGAAGCTGCCTACAAGAGATTCAAAGAGCAAAAGCTCGCGTGACGACAGCGTGGCCAAGACAGTGCAGAAGATCATTCGGGAGGGCGCATCAACGGGGAAATATAATGCTCTTGGATTATAACATAGCATAGCATAGGATGGGATTGGAAAGTAATGTGTATTCCGTAATACAAACCAAATAAATTCTGGAATTCCAGCAGCAACACTCGTGCAGCGTCACCAATCCCCGAGCGCAACATCATGAGCACGCCGATGCAACGATACCTCATCATATCTTATCTCAGTACCGTGCAATCAGCAAAATAGGCAAGCAAATGGCATCAATCCAAACAATTCAAAGCGACACACGGCTCAATTGCCATCCTCCCACTCATGCAGCCGCCAAGCTCCCAAGATTATGTAGCTGCTCCACAACAACGGTCATCGATTTATTTTCCCCTCAAACAACGCATGGTATGTTCGTTTACCCAAAAGTCTCAAGCCAGCGCATACCAGCGCCGGGGCAACACCAAACACCATAACAGCCCAGCTCAGCTCCTGTCTAGGCCTAAACAACCAATTCCACCAAAAAGAGCGAGACTCTCAAACTTTGCATTGAGGAAAGACAAACGGTGACCCGTGACTCACTTGCGGAGGTTTTCAGCACATGCTTGCAGAGGGTAACACCAAGTTCAATATTAGGAGAGACCTTCTCTGTTAGTAGCTATCACCAGGCTACGCCTATGGCTCAGTGGCAGCTGACTTAGAAGATCATAGGCGAAAACCAACAGAGGCGTTATCGGAAGGGCTTCTCCTCTTGAGTCCCTCTTTCCTAAAGCCGGCTCGGTCTTTGTAGGGTAGAGGATACCAAATATTCCAAAGACGCGAGCCGTCTTTCTTAACTCTTTAGCATTGATTCGTACCTCATATCAGCACCTCTTTTCTTCCTACAAGCTCCTATTCAGCATCACTGTACATTTTCCATTTTTGGTTATATCTTCATCTTTTGTCCATCTGTCAACCTTCTGTGACAACTCCCTCCTGTACCACAATCACCATCGCTATTCCTTCATCCGCACCGCTCACAATCTCCGAGGCAGCACTTCAGCTCCGAATCGTCAGACAGGTATGTTCCAAGATAACAAACCACCACTGATTGTCTCTTTCTCTTTGCGGTCCGTCTGCATTCCAGGCTCCCTGGGAGTTTGGAGCCATGCATGGTTGTGAATCAGTTCCCCCACAAAACATCTTCTAGACACCCATTCCTCCGTGACTATGGATATTTTAATTCCACGTTGGAGACACTTCTTGGTTCTGATAATATGTCTCTCTTGGACATCTAAAGAACTTTGCTTGACGGCATCAAGTTAAAAACACACCTTCCACCATGTATACATGGATATTTTCAAATCTTCACCAATATCATGGCTTTATATCATTTCACATCATGGATTTGTTGGCTGATACTCGCTCAAGAGACTCTAGGTCTACCCGGTCCGGATACTGATCAAGCCCGCTTTGTCACCTCAGAAAAGACCGTTAAATCGAAGCGCCCGATCAGGACTCGGTTGCATTCTCCTTTTAGAAACTTCTTGTTGAATGAGACGTTGGCTTCTAGTACGACAGTCTCCAAGTCTGAGTCTTCCTCTTATACTCAGAATAGCTTCACAACGACAGTTACTGTGACTACGAGCTCCCTTCCAACCGAAACAGGAATATCGCCCCAATCACATACCAATCAACTAAGCACAAGCGAAAGCGACGTTCCCCACGGTCCAACCAGAGTGCCTCAAGTGCCAGCTGCAGAGACCACAGCCAAATTCTACACACGGATAGCCGATATGGACGCCGCTACCGCTGAAGAAGAAAGCACCATGGTGTCAAAGAACATTTTCGCGGAGCCCATCGACGTCGATTTGCCTCCCTCCCAAATCACGACTCGAAAGGACCACCCCGTTCCTCGAAAAGGGATTCGGGAGAATGCTCCGCTTCAGACAAACAAGTTCTACTCCAACTTCTTCTTGGAAGACCAGCGATGTCCGACCTTTACTTTTCCCTACTCGCTGGCCTGGGCTGGAGGAAAAGGCATAACGGCCAGCTGGGGCATGGCATGCTCTCACACGGAGGCTAGCCAACGGGTTTTTGGCAAAGAGAAGTTTAACGGTGCTTCGTCTTTCTATCTCAACCCGGTGGGCATCCATTCCCTGGTTCTTTCTGCCAAGGAGCTTGGAAAAGAAACGATTCTTTCCATTGACAGCATGACAGCCTTCTCGGCGCGGGTTCACCTGAGCAGAGACGACAATTCTCCACCCGCTATATCGTTTCCCCTGGTGCAAGGAATGGCATACATTACGGCACAGTATAGCGGATCAACCCCCGTCATTCAAACTGGTGTATTCTTCAAGACTATGACTCGGGTAACACGAGAACTCAAGCATGGCGTAGCCAAATTCACGTTTCATCTCGAGGATGGAGCCACTTGGCTGATGTATGCTTGGGCGACAAAGGGGGATCCGCTGGACCTCAGGGTTATCAACAATGGACTAGCTGAATCGAAGAAGCCGTTCCATGGCATCATTCAGGTTTGCAAGTGTCCAAAGAGCCAGGATGCCGAGGATATCTTGGACGATGGCGCCGGCATCTGGCCCGTCACGCTCGAATTGACAGGTACGGCTCGCAGTTATGAAGGCAGCTACTCGTTCAATTTTGCGATAGACGGGCATCAGACTGGTAACCTTTATATGTACGCTCTCCCTCACCATATCGATTCGTTTGATCAGGAGACAAAGAGGCGTATACAACGGGAAGCGCAGCTGCAATCGACTACGAAGGGCCTTGCCACTTTGGTCAAGGGGAATCGATGGACCATGCTTGAGCCCAAGATGCCGGTGGACATGACGTTTGCTCCCTGGGACCCCGAAAGAGGAAACATGGAGAAGCTATCAAGTCATGCGAAGAGCATCATCCACGCGGCAGCCGCAAAGGAAATCGCACAGAACATGATTGCGCAGAGCAATCTAGACTCCATGTACTTTAGCGGAAAGGTATACATCTTTGATGATTTCTCGTCTCCCTCCCCGTGATATGGAAATTCAACTGACAAACTGCTTCCTAGGCCTTGGCCAAGTTTGCAACCATTCTTTACGTGGTCAGATGGATGCTAGGGGACAATGCCTTAGCACAAACTGGCTTGGGTCAGCTCAAGGCGGCGTTTGCCACGTTTGCGGCCAACAAACAAAAGTTTCCTCTTGTCTACGAATGTAAGTAGAGGCTTGCTGCTTGTTATTGCTGACCTCGTTTCAAGGCCATTGTGAGATGCTAACTCTACGACTTGCAGCTGCTTGGGGTGGTATCGTGTCGTCGGCGAGCTATGTTACCGGAAATTCCGGTGCTGACTTTGGAAACACGTACTACAACGATCATCATTTTCACTACGGCTATCATATCCTCGCTGGCGCAATCATTGGCCATCTCGATTCAGGTTGGCTGCAGCAGAACAAGGACTATATCAATGCGCTGGTTCGAGATGTGGCCAATCCTAGCGCCAAGGACAAGCTGTTTCCCATGTGGCGGAATTTTGACTGGTACCACGGCCACAGTTGGGCACATGGTCTCTATGCCGCTATGGACGGCAAGGTGAATTGGACTCTTGAGACGGTAGCGCTTCTCCATTGCTAACGGCCAGTAGGACCAAGAATCGAGCTCTGAGGATATGATGCACGCATATGCTATCAAGATGTGGGGCAAGGTCAGCAGGAATGCCGATTTGGAGGCAAGGTAAGAGGCGAGATTCCTCATGCTCATGCTCTGGTGATGTCCACGTCTTCTGTTTGTTTCTTGCTTTCATCGTTTACTCGCTTGCCCCTTTAACCCCCGAGAAATTCAAAATAGCTGATGCCAAGAACGTAATAGGGGTAATCTGCAGCTCTCCATCATCGCCCGTAGCCTGCAAAATTATTATCTGTACAAGAGCGACAACGAGGTACAGCCAAAGCAGTTTATTGGCAACAAGGTCGCGGGCATCCTATTCGAGAACAAGGTAGACCACACTACGTATTTCGATCCCAACATCGAGGCAATTCAGGGGATCCACATGATTCCTATTCTACCCTCGACGCCGTTTGTGAGGGTCAAGGAATTCGTCCAGGAAGAATGGGACGCCTTTTTCAGCGACGGGCGGATCGACGACATTGGCAATGCTTGGAAGGGCATCATTTGGGCCAGCTATGCGTCGGTTGAGCCAAGGAAGGCTTGGGAATTCTTTAGCTCTCGCTCATTTAGCCCCCAGTGGCTGGATGGCGGAGCATCGCTGACGTGGTTTATGGCTTATTCTGCTGGTAAGTTCTAGGGTGTCTCTAATCTGTCAGAGCTGGGAATCCGATGCTAACAGGCAGCAACAGCGCTTGGGGAAATATGATGAGCAAGGAGAGGATGGCCTCTGATCTTCTGCTACTTGGCAACTGTCGGTTGGAGGCTTAGGAAGCAAGCGTGGCAAGCTAAACGTTGAAGCGATCCTTTAGATCGTCTTGGCTGCTTCCGGTGGGATGGGGCCGGGGCGGCGTATTTGTCGATGCGTATCTTGCCGGGCCTTTGCCGATGCGGGAAGTTGATGCGGGAAGGGATGCGAGGCTGAGCACGTCGGCGGCAGGACAGATGCGGCATTCGAGGGCGAAATTGACTTTGCGGGCGGGATTCTGAGCAGAGGCGTAGTGGCATTGTCAATTGCCTGTTTCTGCTTCTGTTCCGGCTTGTTCCTGGTGAGGTGTGGCCAGCGCTGACTAAGGCCGTTTGATATTCAAAGCCGTGACGTCGTCGGACATGCTGGCGGGAGGTTCGGGATCGCTCGCTCACGCCGTGACTTATGCTGGGCGCAATGCTCTTGTCACCTGATGGTTGCTGCGACTCGGTTTGGTTCCACGATACATGTACATTTTGCAGAATAGATGCTTCATTTCTCATGGGACCCTTAATTTCGGCTTCCCTAGATCGAGGTGCTCCGGCTGTGCAGTGTGACGGTAATCAACAAGATCTCCACGTGGGCGCTTGGCGATACTAAGTTGTTAATCGATAAGATCCGCCGTGCAAGGGGCACTGCGGCAGAGCCAGAGCCTTGGATAGAGCCTAGAGCCTTGGATAGAGCCTAGAGCCTTGGCCATATTCTTGGCCTAAACCTGGGCGAGAGGCTGAGACACTGGTGTAGTGTAGCCCATCGGAAACGTTGGACTTGGAGAGTCGGGATGTTATCGGTGACGAGTCGGCCAGCGGGGTAAATTCGGTTCTAGAAGCAGCCGGGTAAAAGAGAGTGTAGTTGAAAATCAAAAATCAAAAATTCAAAATCATGAATAATGAGGCTGGAGCGATACGATTTGTCTAACGAAGTCACGAGTGAGGGGGGGGAAATTAAGCTTAATTTGCAATGTTCACCTTTGAGAGGTGGATTTGGGGGGCTGTGCAAGTTGAAGAAGAGGGCGATGCAGTTGCTTGGTAAGAGGGGTGGCTGTTGGAGAAACGATGTTTGTACGAGACTTGCGTGTTTGAAAGGGAAGAGATTTGATGGGATAAGGGGGAGCACGTGGTATATGGTAGGTGAGGGTTTTGTCTTGGCTTTTTTTTTTTTTTGCATGCATGCAGGCGGTGTTTTGGAGATGATTTGATATTACCTTGCTTGATGTTGTACGAGGTTATGGAGTGGAATGGAAGTAAGGTACAGAGTCGATAAGATAAGTACGGTAGTACTTGGGCACCGAGGTAAGTAGAGTACTTGGACACTATACCTAAGCGGCTACTGTAGATTGGAACGTGCGAGTATAAGGTTCGGATACGTGTGTACCTTTTTTTTTTTTCTTTTTCTTTGTTCTTTTGCTTTTCCTTTTTCTCCGACCGAGGCGCGAGGTTATGGGTCAGTAGGGCTATCATTTGGTAATCGTTGCGTTCTTTTTTACAAACAAGCGCGGGTACCGATCATCGGGCGAGCGAATGAAAAAGCAAGAGGACGGCATTCTCCGTTCCTTTGCCGCCCTGTCGCAGAACAAAGAGCGAAAAAAGAAGAAGCGTTGCGTTGCTGCTGAATCGTGCATGACGTCGTGGATTGACGGCTTTACGTTAGCTTCTTCTCCACTCCTGCGAGGGGGGAACATGCAGTTACTTGGCTCTTTGTACAGTTCCATTCCGTCACACAACAAGCTTTTTTAGACTGGCGAAGCCTTTTTGTGGGTAATTTTGGAAGGGGGGGTTCCATGCGCATGTTTTGGGAAGCGGGAGGCGCTAATATCGGATTGGATTGATTGGATTTGATTTCGATGCTTGCATTTGCACCTGGAAGCGCCCGGGGCGGGAACAGCGTTGCGAATTGGCCCTTTTCAAGGTTTAATGTTGAATTACCACATTACACAGTGCAGTGCAGTAGCTGCGGCCTGTCTAGTGAGATCCAGACCATTGCAGACCTACAGTGCTAGCTGATTGCCAAGATGCCCCAGACAAACAATTACGGTGAAGCAGATACGGAGTACATTGTGCGCACGTAGACATACGTCAACCGGCGGTATAGCTGTCATACAATCTGCAGCTGCAGGCTGGCGCAAGAGGGGCTTCTGGTTCTTGGAGGGGAAGGAGGCCTCCAGTCCAGCTCCCGGCAAGGCAAGTCGCGTGCCAAGATTTGTGTACATCCGTGCCTTGCGCCTGCAGTTACAGCATATCGTGCTCTGGATGCTGTAATCACCAAATCAAACGTCACAATGCAGCGTCAAAATCAAGTCATCCGACGCCCACAAGCCCCTCGATACTTACGAGTGCAGTGTTATCAGTTATTCCAGGCCTCAGCCACACCCCAATTCCATTGCATCGAAAGGTACTGGTACTTGGCAACCTTGAACCTCGAATTCTCACACGCACCTACCCGGACCCCTGTGGACCCGCGCTAGCCTTGGCCCCGGCATACCCATTCGCTGAACATCGCGGTCACTCGCTCTTCTTTTTTCCCTCCATCTCTCTCGATTCGCCTTCGACCGACTCGACCGCGGCTTCAACCGAGATTCCAACAAAGGGTTGTACATTGTACTGTGACCCAAAATACCCCCGATTGCTCTCGATATATCCCGCCGTGTCCGGGTAAATTCGCTTGTCCCGTATCCTGTGGCTATTCCGGAGCTTCCAGCCATGGTCTGGGGCCTGTGTAAGTGACATCCTTGCTGTCTATTCTCTTGGTTCATATCAGGCGTGCGATCCGATCCAGTGCTTTCTTGCGACTCATATCAAATCAAATCTCCCTTTGTTCTTTTTCCTTCGCCCTAGCTCTGTGAACATACCACGCCCCCGGACCAAACAAAAACGCCACGCGCAGTTCTTAAAACCTCAATTTCTCTCCCCTCTCCACCCTGCCCAGCCTCGTCGCCTTGAACTTTTATTACTTTACCCTGCCTCGCCCTCTGTGTCTCCATCCTGCACCACACAAATAGCGCCTCTATAATTGCAACCTTCAATGGGCAGTGGGAATTGGCATCGTGGCTGCCATCGCTGATCCTCTTCCTCCTCTTCTTCTTCATCCCCCCGCTTCCTACGACACGGCTGCCTTTGCGAATATCTCCAACTAGCAACTCTCCCTTGCCTCGCGCGTGCAATCCTCTGCTGCTCTCTACTCTCTTTCCGTCATTGCGCCGCCGTTCTCTTTCTCTCTTTAAACAACCGATCTCGCTCGTTGCGATCTCCCGTAAACTGACCACATTCAATTGGTATTGTCGACTACAGTTAACTTAAATTGGACGAGAAGCATTCGGCGCACAATGAGCTACAAACCAAACAACAACGAGCGCACGCCGCTCCTCAATGGCCTCAACGGCGAGAGCTCCAATGGCAACCAGAATCATATTCTAGGTGACGTTCACCGCGAGCGCTCCGCGGCCTTCCAATTCTTCTTCGATTCGAAGCACACGCCGGGCAATGACAGCGACAACTTCGTCGTCCGCAGCCTTGCCTACACTTGGCATGTCACGAAGGTGACTCTGCTCAGCAGTAAGTTTTGCACGAGAATAGCAATCCCGCCCGCTTCTCGGCGAATAGCTGTATACTGATTTTTTTCTTCGCAATTTAGACTATGTCAACTTCCTGCTCATCATGGTCCCCATCGGTATTATTGCTGGCCGCCTCGGCTGGAACTCAACCGCCGTTTTTACCATCAACTTCTTCGCCATCATCCCCCTCGCTGCCGTCTTGTCCTTTGCGACTGAGGAAATATCTCTCAAGCTCGGCGAGGCCCTGGGTGGGCTGCTGAACGCTACTTTTGGAAACGCTGTTGAGTTGATTGTACGTTGCGCGCAATATTTCCCCATCTTTCGGCAGGTACTGACTATTTGCAGGTCAGCATTGTGGCTCTTCGTGAGAACCAGATTGAGGTTGTGCAATCTTCCATGCTCGGATCCATTCTTTCAAACTTGCTGCTGGTCATGGGAATGTGCTTTTTGTTTGGAGGTCTTCGACACCGTGGTTCGACCGGAGCTGGTACGGAACAGACTTTCTCAGCCGCTGTTGCGCAGACTGCCTGCTCCCTCATGGCCCTCTCCTCTGCTTCCCTGGTTATTCCCGCTGCGGTATGTTCCCCCCTTTTCGCATGTTTGGAGCACGAGCTTTGTCTAACATCATTCTGTAGCTGTACGGCGTCCTCGACCAGAAGAACACTGATATCGGCGACAAGGACCGCAGCATCCTGGTTCTTTCTCGCGGCACTGCCATCATTCTGCTGGTTCTATACGCCATGTATCTTATTTTCCAGCTTCGGACGCACAGCAACCTTTTCGACCCCGAAGACCTTCTCACTGCCGACGGTGAGGAGCCCGAAGAACCCACTCTGGGTCCGATTGCTGCTGCCGCGGTCCTCGTCGTTGTAACAGTTTTGGTCGCCATCTGTGCCGATTACTTGGTCGGAAGTATCGATGACCTTGTCGAAAGCGCAAATATCAGCAAAGCATTCATCGGTTTAATCCTGATTCCCATTGTTGGAAATGCTGCGGAACATGTCACTGCCGTGGTCGTCGCCCTTCGCAACAAGATGGACCTGGCCATGGGTGTGGCAATTGGCTCCAGCATTCAGATTGCGTTGGGTGTCACCCCATTCCTCGTTATTGTCGGATGGATTATTGGACGTGACATGACGCTCCACTTCGAGACTTGTGAGTTACACTTGTGTCTAAAGAAATTATCTTGGAGAAAGCTAACCATGATCTAGTCGAGACTGTTGCATTCGCCGTGTCCGTTTTGGTTGTCACTTATACCGTTCAAGACGGCAAATCAAACTACCTCGAAGGCGCCATGCTTCTCGGCCTCTACATTATCATTGCCGTTGCTTTCTTTGCTACGCCAGGAGACTTCTTGGACAAGGCAACAGATCTTATCAGCGGCAGCAACTAAGCACGACTGAATAACATCGACGACTTTCATCTGAGTCGATATCTATTACCTTGGTCGAAGATCGCATTCTCCCGACCATTGAAATATAACATAGCCATCGATGCTATGAATACCTCGAGAACATCCCTTTCTTATGTTATGGACGAACGCGGGACTTCTTTACTACAACAAAAACCCTCGGATCGAGATTACTCCTGGCTACACTAGCCCCTTTCCTAGCCCTGTATTATTATTTTCCTGCATTGTGGTGAATTCCAAGGATTGCAAATTTGAAGTCATTGCGAGGGACGGCTGTGGATCAGAGAATATTGCTAGATGCATAGGATCAAAATGTGCGCCCCAAGGTAGCGGTGGTCGCTCTGCCTTTGCTTCTTTTTTTCTCTTTTGTTTATTTCCTTTTCTCTCGCGATTTATGGGGAATCAAACGGACAAAATGATGGCGTTATATCGTGTTTGTATTGATAATTTTAATGATACCTGTGGAAAAGTAACAAATCTTTCGCACCTGACGTCCGCCGTGATCTCCAACAGAAGAGCTATGAATATTCCACAAGAATTGACTTTTAACAACCGAGATATATTCAGGCCACATGAAAATCAAACCTGAATGGTGTGTACATTGTAAAGGAAAACAAAAGGCCCATCATCCGAATAAGTCTATTTTCCATTCTGACAATATTGAAAAATCAAAAAATCTATGCAGAAGGCTTCGACATGGGCGTAATGATGCCCTGCTTCATGATAACTCTTGGCTTCGTGTTGTCCTGGAACGTCTCCTTGGTCATCCATTCGGGGCCAACAGGAAGACGCAAAGCCCGCTCGTACTGCTGTCTCGACTCGAATGGGAAGGGAAGCTGGGATGCGAGATAGCGGTCGTTCTATAAGACAGAGAGTTAGCTTTCCGTAACAAAATATTGAGAAAACAGGTGGAAATAGGAGGTTAAGACGAACCTTTTTGATGCGCTTTTCGTTAATAATTACTTTATCCAGCTTGGCGTCCTTGCGGTCCTTCTTCTTGATGCCCTCGACCTT